AAGAGATATGCAAGAGGGGGACAGGGTCCCACAAGCTCAACCCACACTCCCGTTGACGTGATGTGTGGGGGAAATGAGTGGCGTTGGGCAGCTGCCAAAAGTGCAAGGAGGTAGCTATAATGTCTCTCACCCTTTCATGTCCTGGTCTGGTTCGCCCCTCAAACAAACACCCATAGAATATCAAATTTTAAGCCCCATTTGGCCTCCCCGCCCCCCTTCTTTAATGACAAAGAAAGAATCAGGACAGGGCGGGTGCAGCTACCTCATATCCCACTTTTGTCAGAGTGTGTAAGAGATAAATGCTACTTCTCTCAGTTAGCAAAAACAAAAAAGCAGTCCAAAAGGAGCTTGCCTCGTCCAGTGCCACCACCATCATGCAAACAAGCACACTTTATTTCAACAACTTTATTAGCCATCATAAAAAAAAAAATCATTGAGCTTTAAATATTATTTCTAGTGCTATTCTACTACTATGATGATTTATTTACAAACACCTAGTTATTAGACATTAACATTTTTACAAGAACAACCAGGGAACTCTGCATCAGGAACTCCTTCAGATCTTGGTCTGCAAAGAAATTAAAATGGGAAGAATTAGGATAGCAAAAAGCGAGGAATGCTGGCACAAGCCCCAAAACTGCACAGTATGGAGCTAATAAGCACACCAGGATAGCTGTACTAAAAGACAGTTCTAAGTGCATCTTGAAGAGAAGTAGCTACAGAAATGTTGGGGGTACACTCTGGCCCAAATAGGGGAAAAAATGTACTGAAAATATAGTCACGGAGAAAATGAACCAAGCAAGGCAGAGTTACACCATCCTGTTCCTCTGTTACATCATGGATGACATGGCATCAGTGGCCTAAATATTAATACTATATAAGCAAAGGCAAAGGAGCAGAAGAGTTGTTCTAACCTGCAAATGCTGTCTTCACATCTGTCTTCACATCAATAGTTTCCTCAGCCCCGTCCTGTAACAGATCTGAAAGGGTATTACCATTTTTCAGTGGCAGGACCACACAGCGCACTACATCTTGCCAGCATACACTCAGTCTCAGTACACATTGGCCAATCAGATGCGTCCAGAAAGCCCACAGATAGGGCATTAATGCAATAGCCCTCCTGGGTGGAACAACCTTGTTTAGATGCTATGCCAACCCAAGTTTTGCGGTGATCAATAATATTCTTGCACATTGTTTATGCTGCATTGGCCATGCCCTTGTTCGCTACTCAATCAGGCTGCAATCTGAACGCCACTTACCTGGGAGTAAGTTTAATTGATTTCTGGGAGGCATAGCTAGATTGTTATCATGCCACAGCTAATTAGCCAAGGGAGAAGAAAAGTGTTCTTGAAGAATGAAAACTGGTTACTGAAACTTTTATGTGCATGCCCAGCTCTTCCCATCCCTCTCCAAATAGCTGACTGGGAAAGAGTTAAGGAAAAGGAGTGAACAGGGAAAACAGTGAACAAACTGCTCATGCATTGCATAAAGTCTCAAACTAGGCAAAGCATACCACACAGATTGCTTCCCTCCTATCGAAAAAGAGAGCAAGTGGGAAAAGAGGGAAAGATAAAGAGTATTTTATTAGACATAAAGAAAGGGAACCTACCCTGCTGCTCTGGCTCCTTCCTCCTCTGTCACTGGAAATATTAGCTTCCTCTCAAAGCTGGAGAGGAAGTGAGACTACAACTCCCATGATGCAGTGAGACTTCAAGTAAAAGACATACAGGCATGACTAGGATGTTGTGCAACTTTAAGAGTCTCTTAACCCCACTGTGCAACTTGGGCTCAAGGCAGCAGTTCTTACAGCTGCAGCAGAAAAATAGAAGTACTCTCATCTGCACCAACATCCATGGCCTTTGGTTAGAAGGATAAACAATAATGAAGGAAAGAAGTGCAGTAAGAAACAGCCAGATGCTTTATTGCCTGATGGATTCTCTTGAGAAATCAGTCTTCCGAGAGAACTGGTGATGGAATTCCATCTACACTGTGGATAAAATCTTTTCAAAAATTCTGGTAACTGGCAACAAATCCTCTGGAAAAAGTCTTTTGAATAAGAACTGAAGGTCAGTAAATGCAAGTGGTAAGAACGATGCTTTAAAAATAAATGTTTTAAGAACTCTCAAAAATAATGTTAAACTTAATTTCATTTACAGTGGTGCTATGTTTGCAAAAATGTTGAGTTCTGTAATTTCAGCCTGGGTGAAAATCTTCCAGGTGGTTGCTCATTGTTTTACTCCAAACATATATATATCTTTAGTATTTTAGTATTTTTTTATTATTTTAAAAAATGCTAACCATGTAAGACACAGGTGCTTTGAAGCAGCAGGAAAAGGCACAAGAGATAGCAGTGCTGAAATGCTGCTCCGTATAGGAAGGGTTTCTGCTGCCAAATTATCATGTTTCATCTGTTTCAAGACATTCATTTCCAATGTAATGAGCTGGCAGGTGACACCAGGCAATGTTTATATGTGTACATATCTCCTATCTAGTAAATCAATACCCCACAGGTGCATACAGTGTTTGTCTGACCTTTTTCTTTTGCTAACAGCACAGCATGCCTTTCGGTCGACTTCATATGCACTTCTCTAAGCATACATTTTGCATTGCTTTGCAATTTTAAAGTGATAAGAAACCTATGGCAGAAACGCAGTGATGTTAAATCTGAAAACTGTGCTTGATGAAGCCATGAAGAGTCTCTGACCAATACACACATGCAGTTCATGTATTGCTTCCCCTGTATTTTCTTCCCAACGGTCCATCAATGCTAGCACTCTACTTGCAGTATTTTAGAAGGGTGTTTTTATTTGCTACATTGCAAAAGTAAAGGGCATGGATGTAGACACCCATATGAAATTGGGGGGGGGTGCGTGCATAGGATTTCAACATAATTCTCCATTTGGATATTTATGCACTAGATCAAACCCCTATTTCCAAGAAGTGAGAGAAAATATGCAAGATATATTGTAGCGCAATATCAGACGCAACGTTTCAAATACTGTGGCTTCACACTTGTGTTTCAACTGCAACTTGATCAGGATTCTGCTTTTTCCCATTTTTGTTCATTGATGAACACACTTTAGTGCAAATATAGTCCAACAAAACAAGAAAAATATATTCTTGCTTTAGAACATTATTCACCCATGAACACCTACAAGGGAACAATGCCCAGATTGCAATCTTCTAGCCAAAAACATTGTACCACTCAGAACACACTGCAGCCTCTGCTGAATGACAGCAGCCATTCAAGTGATCACCCAGCACAAGCCATATTTAAGTAAAATGATTTCATTTAAACTGGGAAGCAAGTATTTCTTCCATAATAGAGATAAACAGTTCTGGCATTGGGGATGTTACTTACGCAGGAGCAGTGTACTGAGGCATGCCCATATAAACTAGTGCTAGCAAAAGGAACGACCGGCGGTGGTAAATAATTTAATGCAATTTAAAGAATTGACCCAAACGCTGCAGAATCTAATCCCACAACAACCATGTTCACAAGTTGCAAAACCATTTTCCTTTTACTGATAGGGATGGTTAATTGGCTGTTCAAAGATAAAGGGGTAAGCTTTGTTAATGAGTCTCCAGCTATCAAGCTTCCATAATAGGTCCACCTCAATCGCTTGGATTATGAAGTGTGTTAACAAGGAAGTTCCTAGAAGGAAAGTTTACTATTCCTTCCTCCAGACCATCTGTGACCCCAGAAAAGCATTTCGGTAGGGTGGGTGGGGGTACCTTCCTGAGCAATGTGAGACAGGGTGCAGGGGCTGCTGCTGCGAGGTGGGGACAGAGTATTTTCCTTCCATGAACTTCCTTAAGCTAAATTATGTTAGGATCCAAGCCAAAACTTTTCAGTGCAGTCAGCACAAACATTTCATAACCCAGTGATCTATATCTATATGGCGCCAACGATGAATCAGGCCTTAACAGTTTTAACAGGCCAACTGAAAACTATATACCTGTTTACTGGGGAAGTTGGTGAATTTTACCGCAAGAGTAATGAAAACAATGAAAGAATATCTGTCTCCCTTGAACTGAGTAGTTTCCTTTATTGTTTTACTAGCAGTGAGCAAACAAGGATCTTTGTAGAAGGCTCTCCTCTTAGGGCTGCCCCAACGTTGTTCTTCTGCAGAACATGCAAACCTTTGTGCAGATGCTTTTGTAACAATATTCTACCTACATATTCTTGAGAATGAACCCACAATGTTAGGCTTTTCCCCCACCCCCAAATTGCAACTGTTCTCCATCGCAGCACAGTGTCACTCGGCTTAAAACATCTACACATCTTTTCTAAACACATGTTTTCATGAAGGATTTACAGATGATTTTTAGAAATACATTTTCCGGGAAGGCTCTCTTTTGCAAAACACAAGACGCCTGTTAGAAAACTCATAAAAGTCATTTGGTTGGTGTTTTCCAGGTTTGCAGCACACTACACAGTATGTCTGAAGGCTTTCCATTTGCCTAGGATGGGAAATCTGTGACCCTCCAGATGTGGTTGGATTCCCATCAGCCTCAGGTGGTATGGTTAACTGCAAGGAATGTTGGGAGCTGTAGTTCACCAACACCTAAAGAGCTACAGGTTTCCCATCACTTGCATGTGTTCTGATCAATAGGGACAGTTCAGCAGGAATGTTTCACCACCCGGACCACAGAACTTGTGTGACTCAGATATAAGAATTTACATTCCTCTAGAAGCTGAAAACCTTTTATACATTCTTTGGCCAGGCTGTTGGAACTAACAAAGCTACCTTGTGAAGCAACATCTGTTATATTTATCTGCAGGTCTGAAACAATCGGCATCCAACAAATCAAAAATTTGGTATCACCTTCAGACATTTGTTGTTCGCATTTCAAAGCAAATGTGAAATAACATTTATGAGCAGTAATATTGGGGGCCAACACTGAGCAGTACTTAGTAAGAAATACAGTGCAAAGGAATTAAAGTTATACATCCATTTATAAGTACTAGAATAAAAAGTTACCGAGGCACTAAGGTGTTTGGGTTTTTTAGTGTTTTATTAAGGTTTTATAGAGATATAAAACCTTCCAAGTACGTCTGAGAATATCATGCCTGTACAGTACATAACATTCGTTTTCACAACTTATGCTGTTGCTGTTGTGTATTTTGTTCCATTTCTAAAATATATGTTATTCTTACAAATGGCACATTTAAAAGTGGACACCTGAAATTCTAATGGCTGCAATGCTGCTTCAGCCCAAGTAATTTCTTCATGAACAAGTTTTAAAAGTGTGTGAGTGCATCATATTATAAGGCAGTGGCAATTCAGTGTCGTCACCATAGTAAAACACTTTGCAGAAAAACTTCAGCTTTTTCTTCTTCTTAAAACAAAGGGAGGAAGTTAAACAGTAATTGTTTGCAAAGTCGCACATCTGAGGAGGCACCCTTCTTCAAACTAATCTCGCTGTCTCCTAGGCTTTTTTCTTCTTTAACTAATCTCATTAGGCTGCATTAAGGCACATGCAGATATGACAAGCATGAATGTGTCAATGGAATTCACCCTCTACAAATAGTAAAATGTACCGCTTAAAAATCCTTTTTTAAAAAATGAAATACATCCATTTTGTTGGTTTGTTATGAAACTCGACTCCTATACAAAAAATTATAAAATTTACACCATCTGAGCTGCCAGAGAGGTTTAAAAAGTATCAATTCTGCAATAAAACTACTTTCCCCCACCACCACAGTCCAGAACAGGGCAGAATAAATACCCCATCACTTGAACTGGGGTTTGGGGGAGGGCAGAGGAGAACAGCAGCAGACCAACACCCCTGGGTAAAAGAGATGCATGATTGTATAATAGCATATTCCCCTTGTTAAAAACAAAACAAAAACAAAACAGACCTCTTAATCCTTTTTTAAAACAAAAACAACAACATTGGAATTGATGGGAACAATTTGCCGGCAAAGAAGCAGGAGTTGTTCAAGCAAAGAACCACAGTGGGGGGGGCAGTTTTCAGTGCGCTGCGCCCCCTGTGCTCAGATGCCTGGACTGAAATAAGGCACTTTTCTTCCAGTGAGAAGCACCTTCCAAAGGAATGACACAAGGACAAGATGAGTCGGATTTCTGGTTAAAACACATGAGGGTTGATTGGATGGTATTCCCAGGATGCAACAGTAACGGTTCGACAGCAGGTGGGAAGACACAGGAGGCAAATATCTGGGAGGTGAGCCTCTACACAGAAGTGGTCACTCTGTCATTGGCATTATTGACCTCATTTTTGTTTGAATCCAGTCCTTTAGCAGCGTTCATATCATTCCGTAAATTCTCCACTTTCACTTTCATATTCTTTAACTCCCCAGGGTGTGGAGTGGCTCGCCTTAGAAGTGTCCTCTAAAAACAAACAGTGGAATAAATGATTTTTCTCCTTCTTGTGACTCCCCCCACCCCCCTTTTAAGAAATTATTTATAATCTTTAAAATGGCTTTTCAGGCTTGGCAATCAAATACCAGTGATTGAGTCTACCAGGAAATGTGCTGTCAACTTTAAAATAGCTGCTTAAAAATAATAGCAATAATAATAATAAATAAAATGTGGCAGGGGATAGACCTAATAGCTGAAGGTATGCTTGCCGTGATGCAGAGAGGCAACATGCATTGAGGGGACAACCCACTCAAAGTGCTTCCATCTTCCCAGGATTCAAATACAGTTGATTGGCCCTCATCCTGTCCACCACTACACTGATCCAGAGCTTCCACTGCCTCTCCTGATTTAGTTGTTATGGCAAAATAGGACTGCCTGTCATCAGCGGCCTGATTATACCTGGCTCCAAAACTCCTAATGGCCCCTCCCAATGGCTTCATATCAATCTTAAAAACAGCACTGGGGACAGGATAGTACCCTGCAGAACCCCATAGCACAGATGCCAGAGGACCACAAAGCACTTACCCAATGCTACTCTCCAAACATAGGCCTTGGAAAGTAAGAATGGAACCATTGTAATACAGTGCCCCCGATACCCATCCCACCGTGACTGGTCCCAGTGTTAGAACCTGAGATATGAAATCTAGGACCTAAATGCCACCTTAAACCTAGGCTATGAGTGCAAGAACAGAATGTCTAGGCACGCTTTCTTATAACAAGAATATAAAGCTGAAAATGAATGAACTGCAGGTAAATATTATGTTCATTTTTCTCATGGTCTAGTCCTTTGCCTGCCCACCCCCTAATATTCTTAAGAAGGTCTCTTTTCCAGTCTTCAGAGAGTAGCTGGAAGTGGGGAGGCAGAAAAAGGTCCCCCTTTCCTTCCACTCTGCAGTTTTAGTCTGAAATTTTAGGGCGTGGTGCTGCACCCAGAGCTGAGAAACTGATTGCACTAACAAAATTCCCTGTCGCAAAAAGTGTCCAGAACAATTGGGAGTTTCAAAAACTGGTTGGGTCCAGGAAGTATCCAAAACTACTGAGAAATAGAGCAGAAGTAACAGAGTTGTATTCCCCATCTCACAATGAAAGGCAACCAAAGTCGACTGGGTTCCAAAACCGAGTCTGCTTGCAGCAAATCTAGATAATGAGTCTCATCCAAGAATACCTGCAGTTACTCCACAATCACCCTTTCCACTATGTTTGCCAAGAAATGGGTGTTGGTGACTGGTCTATAGATATTACACTCCATTGGGTCCAGAGTCGGCTTTTTAATAAATGGACCCACCACTGTCTTTTAAAGGGACTCAGTCCACCACTGCAGTCCCATGCATTTAAAAGTAGTCATACTCTGTATCTATTTTACCTCTGTGAATTACATGCTATTACTTTTGGGACACTTCATGCTTTATGTGAAAAATACACCCACATTGTCAACACTAATGTTTGAAGAGGAGATGTTCATCAAAACACAGAGGATACATATTTCAATAAGCATCTGTTCTTCAAACTTGTGTACTGTGGGAAATGTGGTCAACATACATTCACATGTGAGCAGCCATAGCTGCAAAAAGACAGCTGATAATTCTAGTTTACATATGCAGCTGTGAAATGCAATTCTGCTCAGAAAAGTGACTATAGCACCTTCGTAAAAAGCATCCACCACCATATGCATTCTGAGTCACGGCAGCTGCTGTTAGTTATGCAATGAATCTTTTTCCTGCTTTTAATTTTAGTTGATTCTGAAGAATAAAAATAAGTGAAAGTGAGGGGGTGGCAGGCTGTGTGACCTTCTATGCACCAAGAAAAATCAAATTATTGTCCCATGATGCAGAAGGTGTGTGCACGCACACACAAACCATGATATTAAATGAATCACAGCGATTTTAACTGCTTTATAGCAGCATTATTTTAATATGAACTGTGCAATTTCACCAGTTACGGAAAGTCAGAAGGACCGGGAGTCAATTTGTTGCCCCAATATATCACCAGTTATGAGGAGGACAGAAGGTCCTTTTGCAGTTCAGTTAAGTATTAATTGCAAGGAAACACTTATGTTCTTACTCTCAAAAATGCTGTAGTCACTATTCAAAGCAAGAACATTCATTTAATGCATATTTTAGGTTTGTACTGTGGACAATTTCACACATGGCTTCTTTAAGTGTATACCTAAGGTATTTGTTTTTAAGTGTGAACGCAAACACGTGTCTCATACTGCTACACTCCTATATGAAGGTTGCCTGCCTGCCGTTTGACATCTTCTGTGAGTAAAAAGCAATCATTTAAGTGGACCTACTTCACGGGCATATTTGGAGGGAGAGGGGATGTGCTTTACTGGAGGTCTCATAAGTACAGTGACAGGTGCTCCCACTCGGCCCTCCTTCATTTTGAGCAGAACACTGAACATTTCCTGCCAGTTCAGGTGTCAATACAAATGATCATGTAATGAAGGCAGGGCGATGGAAGGGATTGTGGCGATGACAACAAACAGTATGGTAGGATAGGAGACAGTCCAATGGGGGAGGGATAACTCCAAGGGCTTTGCTGCCTACAGGATGTTGGTTCCATATCTTAGATCTTCCACAGAAGATGGATACTTCCATCCTGTTTTTGGAAAACTGAAGGGAACACCCCCCCAAAAAAAGTCAATTAAAGCTAGGATTAAAGTAGGATTAAGTAGCAATATTTTGCTACCCAGGAGTTTCTGCAAGAGTATCTGATTACAAGCATTTAACAAAATTGGCAATTTAGTAATGGTCTGCTGGTGCCGTGTAAATTAATGCCCAAATCAATAGTCCAACAAACCGTGCTTACGGCCCCACTTTTTCATTCGCTTTCCAAGAAAACATACCATTTCATTATCCTCTTCATCTTTTTCGTCTTCTAAAAAGCGGATTGCACTGACTCTATTTACTGCTCGTTCATTCCATGTCTCATCTGACATTTCATTTACCAAGCTCTCCAGTGCCCCACATCGGGGAAGGTTATCTGTTAAGAGAGATAACAAACAGAGATAGAAGGTTGTTAGAGAAGTCAACATCAACATATATCCAACAGTTCAGATGTCAAGGTGGTTTTTTTTCCTGATAAAAACACATGTTTGACAATTCCATACTACATTCACTTGAGAGGTCAGCTGCAAAGATCTTGTGCTTATGTTTAGGAAAGACATTACATCGCATTTGCAATGATAGTCTTATCAGGAAATTTGGTTCATGTCTCCATATATGAGCAGACAGAGGCTGAAACATCAACTTTCTGGAACTCTTTTCTTTAAGACTGTTTCCCTGAAATGTAAATTTCCCCTATGCCCAAGATTGTCATCAGTTCAAGTGCAAAGAAATCACTTCATGTACGTAACTCTTGTGCTTGCTTGAGCTAAGAGTTGAGAACATGCAACGTATTTAAACATCATCAAGACAAGCTGTTCCAAGAACAAGCTAATGATTTGCATTTATTCAATAAGTTAAAAGTAAAACTACAGGGAATGGGGAGCCGATAAGCCATTATTATCATCACCTGGCAGAAGATATGCAACACTTCATAACCTCAAAACTACAATTTCTTGAAAACCTCTTAAGAGGCATAGCACACTTACATGATACTATGCAGCCAAGGGAGTTTTGTTTGCTTTTCTCATTACCCTGAAGCCATCTTGCTTCATGTGAAATTGATCTGTAAAATGTATTTACCTTGGCAACCGGGCTCAGAAGGCATTTGAGGAAGTAAAACACATGTTAAAATCTTCTCCCCTACTTCAGGGTCTGTGTCTGTCTGGAACGTAAGTAAAGGCTGGGACTGGTTATCAGACAACCACAACGCCTTCAGCTTCAAGCTGGTGAGCGACATGGGAAGATGTAGCAACCTGGCGGAGAAAACAATCCTAATAGTTCTTAAACTGCTACGGAGAATAAAGCATTTCAGTGTTATGAAAAAGTCTTGTTTTTATGTCTGCAAAGAGGTGGAAGAAGGTGCCCCAAATAACTGTTTCCCCATGCAACATCATACAAATTTAATTTTTTACATGGTTGGTTTCTGTGCACTTAATGTAACTTGCTGTTTTCCAACAAAAGGTCAGCCTTACCACATTGGTTTTGTTATGTGCAGGCAAATATGCAAGAAGCATCTGATGTGATCAGGAAAGAGCTTGGCATTTTCACAAGTATACATAGGTAGTGTCTGGTCTTGAAAATTGCACTATTCCACCCACCCAACTAACTCTTCATATTTCATGCATTTCCCTAAAAGTGTTGTGAGAAGGGTATAGGTATTGCTATAAGTGAATGGAAAGGGGGGAAATTAAATTCTCTAAACTGGGGGGAGGGGGGATTAACTGCTGTGAACTAAATTACAGCCAGACAGCATAAAGACTCACATCCCATTACAGTAGCTGCTGGATCTTAACACAGCACAACAGTCTAAGGAAGGGAGATTTAACCTCCAGTACCTATTTTTTCTTCTGCATGGAAAAGATAATAAAATGATACTAAGATATCTGGTGTTTAAAAACAACATGCCCCAATCTCATTACAGATACAGCTGTACAGCTGTATCCCAGTGGAATAATAGCAAAAAAATTTAAAATAAATCTTCATTTGACTTAAATTGGGAACTAACCTAAACATTTAACTATTAATGTGATTTTTTAAACTGTCTTTATAACAGCTACCAAATTGCACATACCCCATTTGATGTAGCAAACACTATGCATCTTGAATACATTACAAAAATCATTTGGATTTGTTGTGCATACGAGTACTTGCCTATTTCCAGCTACATCTAGGACATGAAGTTCTGTGGCTTGTGATATCTCAGGAGGAATCCTAGATAACCGGTTGTCACGTACTGAAAAAACATTTAGACTGCAACACCCACCAATCTGTTTTATGAAAAGAAAAGAGAATGCATTATTGTTGCAGAGGCACAGTACGCATGTAAAACATGGGTTGTGAGTACTAATGTTACCAGCACACTAGAATACTCATGTTTGCCTTAGTAGTTGCTTTGTACAACAACAACAACAACAACTTTCTCCACTAAGGGGCAGTCTTGGGACACTCATTTGGATTCCTTCTCAGCTAACCCATTGGGCGATGGATGCTTCAGAGACAGCATTTAAAGTTCTTCTGTTTAGCGACTAAAAGAGAGCAGCTGGGAACAAAGTTGATAAGCTTCAGCAAAACATCTGAATTCCTGGTCTGATGGTTCTGCCACTGCTTTTTAAAATTAGGCTTCCTGATCTCATTTCTTTTCCCTACATGCTACTCTGCATGAGGTGCTCAGGGATGTGCTTGTATATGTTGGCGCACCTGCAAAGCAACAACGGAATACACAAAGCTGCTTGCCCAAAGCAAGATTCATTGTCAAATGCACCGGCATCTTCAATTCACTCTATTTGCAGCTGAGGTGCTTTTAAAGCAGCAGTTGCTTATACTAAGTAAAACACCCACAAGGTTGCTCCATAGCAATTATTGAGACTGCGCTTATGCAAACTTGAAAACTCAGTACTTATGTAAGAGTGCACTGTAAGGCATCTTGCGCTCAAAAAAAAAAAAAAGCCATAATTTACACGAACCCCAATAATTAACTCAACAGCACAATGGAAAGCAATAGATTGAAGCAATAGATTCAAGTGAAAAGCACTTAAGGCATACTTTTTAAGTTACACAAAATCACAATCGCCATTTTTAAGTTAGCAATTCTAAGTAGGTTTTAAAATGTAATAAGATTGAGTAAGTTCCACTAAAATCAGCAAGCCTTTATTCTAAATGAAGATGTATAGGATTTAAGAGGGGGTCTTTTCAATTTACTGTGTCAAGTATCCAATTTCCTCTGAAACTCTATATAAGCTTCTGTTTACATTCACCTAAACTTCAGTGTAGCAAACACTATGCATCTTGAACTCAGGATATCATCTCACACCCAGGTTCTGTGAAGTTCAAAGCTTCATTCCAAGAGAATAAGCATTCTATTATAAAGAACTTCAACAGCACATGCATCTTTAAGATGGTCACTTTGCAACATGAATGGAATTTCCATCATCACATTTCTCTTTTTAAAAGGATAAAAAGTTTTCTACTGTCATTACCACTGATGCTAACCACCAACTTAAAGAGAGTCTGTACCATTTGAAGGAGACCACAATCTTTGTATCAACAAGCCACTTTAAAACCCCCTCTAAGCCTTGGTTATAAATCTAAAAATACTTTTTCAAACAACTCATTAAATGCTAGCTAGCTATTGGAGTCAATTCAATTTTGGTTGAATTGAATTTTCATTTCCCCCCATTACAACTGAAATCTTTTTTTTTTCCCAGTAACCACCAAAAAAAGTATTCCTTTCATCACATTTTAATCTTTATGCAAAGTTTTTGCCAACATAAATATTTCCATCGTATTCCCTTCCATTAGAAACAGGCATACTTTCCTCCTATTTTCATGCAAGGAGTTCATAGTGGAAAAAAGCATGAGCAAGATGATTATATATTGTGTTTGTTTAAGTTGCAGAGCCTCCCCAGGAGTGAAAAACCATGCACTAAAATTTCTCTAAGTACTCTTGACAGGATATGAGGAACCGTAGCAAAAGTATCCATTGTCTGCCTAACTGGTGCATCTCTAAAATGAAAAAACTGGGCACAATTATTCATTCTGGTTAGTGAATGCTAGATGAGCTGGCAAATGATGCCCTGTAGCACCCAAGGAGTGTTTTCTTTGAATGGTTCTGTGTCGAGAACAAGCAGAATGAGTTTTGGCCATGCAGCCTTCTTGAGAGGAACCCACCCCTTGAGCTGGAAAACCCCAGACTTTTGGGGGCAATGAAAGTGCAGCCAGTTGGAATCATCATGCATTGAAAGCAGTTTGGATGAAAGGAATCAGTGCAACCGTGGACAGAACAATACTTACAAGGTTACAAGAGTTTACCTGACTCAATTTTTCCAAGCAGCTAACAATTAAGAAAAACACAAGAGACAGTTGTTTGGTATAAACACACACTATTATTTCAAAGGACAAGACAATACCAGTCTTGCACAAGCACACACACTCTATGATAAGACATTTTTTTTCTCTACCAGAGAACTCAACATTTCCGCCACTTCACTGAAACTGGCTTCCAGCTAGTTCTGCATTGAACAGCCTTGAGCAATTTGCCTGGTGAACTGACCACTGCATGGTGAACTGTAATAAATCTGTAAACTGACTAAATGAAACCATGTGAGAAGCTAGTTGTCCATAATGCTGAGCTTTGTGGACCTAATCCAAAACATGGTGAACCATGCAGCTCTGTCAAAAATAATAGGTGAAGATGTAGCATCCAATCAAAACTGGTAAGATATCAACAGTGGCGTAGCGTGGGTTGTCAGCACCCGGGGCAAGGCAAGTAATTTGCGCTCCCTAACCCGTGGATTTGCGCCCCCTAACCTGTGGATTTGCCCTAACCCCAGATGTTGCGCCCGGTGCGGCCGGCCCCCCCTGCACCCCCCACGCTACGCCACTGGATATCAACTGTGAACTAGTAGCCTTTCTTGAAATAATCACCTCAGTCTTTTTTTGTGAAACTTACACCTCCACTTCAAAAATTACAGGGTTCCCTAGGCATGAATGAATCCCTAGGTGAAACAAAATTCTGATCTTGAAACTTTCCGGTGAAGTTCTCAGGTGTTGTGTGCACACTTAGGAATTTGAATGGAGTCAAGGGCTTAGGGTTTCTTTGTATCCCATTCTGTAACATGGGGACACACTGGGTTCAAAAGGATGGCCGTTCAGTACCTTGAGGTTTACTGACCTTGCTGCCAAAATATTTCACACTTTGTAGAGGGGGGAAATATCTACAAATAGTGGTAAGGAGAGTTTGCAGAAACATTTACTTACATGCAACAATTAACAGAAACAATGATTACTAGGGAAAGCATTTTAGTGGGAGAATCCATTCTACTTTTGCGGCAAGCCAAATAAACAGGGTTCAAAGAGCATAAGAATATAAGGGTCTGCTGGATTGAGTGCATCTAGTTCAACATCCTGTTCCTACAGTGGCTAATCAGATGTCTATGGGACATCCACAAGCAGTACTGGCATATTGCCTCCAACACTGGGGAGAGAACATAGCCACAATGGCTTGTGGCCTTGATAGCCTTCTCCTCCATGAATGTGCCTAATCTTCTGTTAAAGCCATGCCAACTTGGTGGCCATCACTGCATCTTGTAGAAGTGAGTTCCATAGTTGAACTAACATTATTTTCTAAATGGCGTGCACGTTCCGAAGCATCCATGCCACAACACTAATCCAGAATATTCTTTCGCCATCTGACTAAGTCAAGTGATGAATAGCCAGTGACTCGCTTGATATTATATTTGCCAACAGTTTTATTAGTCCCAGCTGCCAATTTATATCTGTAGCCACCATTTCATTTTTATGTATTTATAGATACCTAATGTATATCTCAAAACATGGCTCAAGTGCAGGACAAAAAACACAACACAAATGCAAAAAAAGTCAAAAATAGCAGACATTTGATCTGGTTAGTTGAATTGCATATATGTTCCTCTGACCCCTTTTGGATAACCTGGTATGACTGAAGAGTATTGTATTCATTTGTGCATGTTACGTTGCATACCAAGGATCTTCAGGGGCTCTGATTCTAGACTTCGTTAAAGATACCCATTTGCAAAAAAGGGAACAAGAAAATAGGTGACAATACGACAGACAAAATTCGTATATATGTATATATATTTATGATCTCAGAACTCCAAAACTTCAACATTAAGTGATGATTTGCAGGTGTAAAACAGCCACCACTAACAAGCACCAGAGTTTTTATATCAGTGCACATCATTTCAGACAATACCTTATCAAAGCAGGCTGCCCCACATCAAATGCCAAATAACAGAGCAATGAAATAAATCACTGTGTATGAATCAGCTGTTAGTTCATATAATGATTTCAAACAGGTAGGAATAAAAGAACCTGACCGTCACTTCATCAAACCTGCCTGCCTGCCAGAAGCTGCCTGCTGAAATCCACCCACTAATCTCCCCATGTCAAACCCCTTTGCTATTAAGGCAACGCAAGCCCACCTCCTTTGATCTCACCTGTCAGAATTTTGTCAAGGTTCCATCCCAACACTGCGCAGCAGAGGTTCTCATTATCACACTTGGCAGTTCACTTTGTCATATTTCTGTAGGTGGCACTGATGGCTATGATTAGCTGCGGAGCAGCCTGAATAGCTGGTTTATGTAACACCAGACACAGTTCACCACTGGCAATATGAGGTTTGAAGCTCTGAAACAGCTACTTATGACATCATGAAAAATACCAAAGAGGGTATAGGGAAATAAATTTGTGAATATTCAAGATCCAGAGAGTGAGCTAACTGGACTTTTGAACAGTTAATGGAAGCAAAAGGAGCGACCTATTAGCAGCAGAAGTGACACCGGAAGCTGGTGTTTGTGACATCCCTGGACAGGAGAAGAAGGGCTTATGGGTCTGGCTTATACCATTGCCTGCCTCTGTACTAAACCAAAAATAAATTGGCCACCAATTATTTAGTCTGTAGCCAAACACTTAATTGCATGGCACTACAGAGCAGAAAAATTACCCAAGCTTTTTGCTATGCTTCTAAAAAACAAATAAAGCACATATTTAAGGCAGCGGCGTAGCGTGAGTTGTCAGCACCCGGGGCAACGCAAGTAATTTGCGCCCCCTAACCCGGGGCAAGGCAAGTAATTTGCGCCCCCCCTAACCTGTGAGTTGCCGCTGGCGCTGCCGCCCAAACGACGCCGCTTGCCCGGAGGAGGAGGGGGGCAGAGAGGCGAGGAAAATGCAACGGCCCAGCAGCAGCAGCAGCACCGGCGGAGGCGGGGCTGTGAGGAGGGGCTGCCTGGCGCGTCCTCCGCGGCGAGTGCTGAGAGCCGCTGCCTGCCGGGCGCCTTCAGCCGGGCGCCGCGAGACATGCGGCTCCGCTACAGCCTGCGCCCGAGGCTCTTCGGCGACTCCGGAGGCAGCGAGCGCGCCCCCCCAAATGTTGCGCCCGGTGCGGCCGGCCCCCCTGGCACCCCCCACGCTACGCCACTGATTTAAGGTTATGTACAGAGTATGTTGATACATTTGAAGCTGAACTCCAGTATTTCCTTTCCTGCTCTCAACAAGACAACTATTTGACTCAGCATGCAGTTATCTCTGTACTATAACACAACAGTCAACCTCGTGTAGCAGCTCATTCTGTATAATCTGAAGCTTTCACAGTAAAATGACAGGCTGGATCTACAGGCCCCCAGGCACAATTCAGGTCCCTCAGATATTTGTGACAAATTAAGTGGTACACAGAAAGAAGGCTAAACTCACCAGGCAAAAAACTGTTTCTTATCAGACCCTAGCATACATGCGGTATTCAGTGAAAGACAAAATTCTATTTATAATTTAATTTTATCTCCAGTTTTAAATATCACTGACATCAGAAGAAAACAGTCAGCTTCCTGAACTCACATTTTCTAATCAATGAAGTATCATATAACCACCAAACTTCTCTACTATTGTATGAATAAAACTGTAGAATAAACTCTCAGGGTGGTATTCAATGCTAGTCCTATGCAGAGCGGACCCATTGGAATTAATGGAAATTACCAATTTAGGTTCGTTAATTACAATGGGTGTACTCTGAGTAGGACTTGGTCGAACACAATCTTCATTCTGCAGTTACATCCAATTAAGGATGCTGATTTGCTTTGCTTTCAATTAACTGTTCTCATACACTTAATTGTCAACATATTTGTTGGCTGAGAATCTAGAGAGTAACCACATTTGGTTACGTTCCCCAAGGAAGAAAATGAATGTACAGCCCTCATGCTTTCAATGTAGGACAGGGGTGTGGAACTTGTGACCCACCAAATGTTGAAATCCAACCCCCATCATCCTTGATCATGCTGGCTAAGGCTGATGGGAACTGGAGTCCAACAACATCTGGAGGGCCACAGGTTCCCTACTCAAGTGTAGAAGCTCCCAGGTTCAGTCCCAACATCTGCAAGTAGGGCTGAGAAAGACTCATCTGAAACCCTGCAAAGCTAAATGGAGACCTGGTCTGATTTGGTATAATCCTATATAAAAGGGTATGAGTACACTTATCCAAGGTTATCTCTTTATACTGGGCCCCCTTCACATTTTCTAGCATGTAGAACTGCTCAGGATTGGTGATCCTCAGCGCTCATTGCCCCCATCCATCATGCCTGTTCACAGATACCAGATGTATCTGGAGAGGCCAGAAAAATCAGCATCCAAACTACAAAGAAAAGGAAGGTTCTGAAGACCTCTCTGACTTGGAAGCCTAAAATGCAGGATCATGAGGCCAAGTGAACCAACAAACCTATGTTGACCTTCAAGGGCTAATAAGACTGTTTTTGAAATGTTTACTGCAATGTAGCAGTAATCCCCATTGAGTGGCGAGGGCAGAGTTGAAGCCTATGTGTTACTAGGACAAATCAAACCTACTTCCAGGGCCAAGGCTCCTGCCACCAGGCTGAGACTGCAGAATTTGTAAGGCTGTCAGCTGGCAGACTCCTCACCACACTGCTCCATCCCTGCAGTCTTTCAGTCTCTGGATGTATTAAATTAAATTTCTTCTTGTCATTTTGACTTTCACACCATGTGTGGCTTTTCTTATTTATAGCACATGTTCATATTTTGCTGAAAGCAAATGTTATCAAACAGCTACACTGGCAACAAAAAAAAACACCACCAGAAGCCTGTCGGCTGTCATTCCAACCCCCACTCCCACCCTCCTTAAAAACCAAAACCAGTTTCACTCAGCAACAAAGCAGAACTGAAAGCAAACCAAGCAGATTACATGTGCCCAGCACAGTTTTTGCATAAAACGAAGAACGGAAGACACATGTGTGTGAAAGTAATTGTGTCTGTTGAAAGTTATGCCACAGTGACATTTGTTAGCCTTAAAGGACACTGATTTAGACTAAGATGGCAGAACTGAAGCCTACGTTTACTTCCAAAAGTTGCAATTCCCAAGGACTAAAGGGGACATTTGCAAGGTACACTATGCTTTGAAATCCAGAAATATTACATTGCAGGATTCAGTTACAAGGTACATGCTTGCTCAAACAGATCACGGGACTAGCTTCCTATGAGGAATCTAGGTCTCCTGAGGATTCTCAGCAGATTTGCGATAGGAAATCTATTAAATCTTTTTTTCCCCCTGCAATGTTTTTTGTTTTGCTGCAGTAGACTAAGCACAGCTACCCCTCAGTAAATTATTCACACAGAAAGACACAAGCATTCTGCAGGTCAGAGCCTGCCACAGACAAAAGTCTGTGACAATAAGACTGCCAGCAATGCAATCTCATCAGTGTGCTAAATACAAATGTTTTTTAAAAAACAAAAAAACCCTGCAGATGTTGTATAGATATCCAAGAAGGCAGCGTTCTTCAGTTCATTTGTTACAAGCACCCAATGCCATTTCAAATCTTGTGACCTTGAGACGAACTTCTGCATAGTAATTTTTAACCATAAAAAGCTAAATGGCTAACCAGTAATACTCATAATTGCTTGGGACTTTCAAGGGTATTCTGATAGAGCACCACACACCACACATTCATCAGCAATTAGTGTTCCAAAACATTGCCCTGGGAAAGGAACTGGCCTTCTTTCTTCCTTTTTCTAACTTTGAAAATGCTTCATCTGCTGTGTTGAGTGGATTTTGATGGAAATTGAGAGCTCCTTTCAGATCTGGGATGTCCAAGACCATGAGAAGTGAAATCATTTGGGCTAAACCCAGTGGCATAGCGTGGGTTGTCAGCACCCGGGGTAAGGCAAGTAATTTGTGCCCCCTAACCCGTGAGAGAGAGTGAGTGAGCCAAGTAGGGGCAGAGAGCTGCGAGTGTGAGCGCCCCCCCCAGATGTTGTGCCCGGCCCCCTGCACCCCCCATGCTACGCCACTGGCTAAACCACTAGACACAAGCCACAGCACATTGGACAGTAAATTGCCATTTCAGTTACAGACTGCTCTAACACACTTCCTTACTTCCTTACATGCATTTATTTCCATCCACCTAGGTCCACTTATTTCAGGTTTTACTAGTCAGTGCAGTCCAAGCTCTCGCCCTACTACATTTCATTCTAGTTGAGAAATGGGGAACCTATGGCTCTCCATTTGTTGTTAGGCTACAAGCCCCATCATCCCTGACCCAAGGCTGCTGGCTGAATGGAAATGACATACCTTTTTACATGCTGTCCAGTTTCCCCTGCAAAGACAAACAACAGGGATATTGCTTACCTCTTTGGGTAAAGACACTAGTTTGTTTCTGTCAGCGTTCAGTACATTCAGCTTCTTTAGCCGTCCAATGCTCTTCGGCAAAGTCTGTTTCAGATCAAAGCAGAGCAATGTCAGTGATTACCAATACCAGCAGCTTTTCAATATGTGTTTACCTTTCAGAGCAGTTTGGAAATTCCAGGTGATACAGGTTGTTGAGATTTAAAGACTTAAGATTCCACGGTGTGTGAGCTCAATGAAGTTCTTGGGGTGAATGGGGTGGGGCAGATCAGAGCAAAGCAAGGTCATGTTTGCACATGACCTTTGCCACCAATCCTCTGCTACAACCATGTGACTATGACCTCAATGCTGACTCAAACCTAACCCTATCCCAGCTAATGAGCAGTAATGGCAGTGCCAAGAGAAATGCTCACCACCACATACGAATTTACATATGAATAACCTGAGGATGAAGCCGCATGTAACAGAGTTAAGTAACTATGGTGTGCACTCTGTTTTTATGTTTGCGTCTTGTCTAGTGAATCAAAATGCTGCTGTGTCATTCAGGACCCTCCTTGCTTCCTCACCTCTGCAGCCATTACTGCTTTTGCCTTCTCCTCCTCCCCTTGCTTGAAAACACAATGTCCCAAGATCCAACACCATCCTAACTTGGGCACCCACCTGGAAGTGTCAGAAACAGCTGCAACATAAGCAGCCCTGTTTAGGGAAGCTTTTAATGTTTAACTGACCACTGTATTTTAATATTTTGTTGGAAGCCGCCCAGAGTGGCTGGGGAAACCCAGCCAGAAGGGCGGGGTATAAATAAATTGTTGTTGTTTCCATTTTCTTTTTCTACACTGCCTTTATTTCCAGCACCAGGGACCTGCAAATACCTTTTGTGCACTATGGATTTCTACCTCCTTGTTCCAATACCTTTAAAACATCTAGTTGATTTAAGAAACTTGCCAAATTATTAGGTGAGCTTTTGTGCCACAAGCAGGAGCAGTTCCCCTGATGCAGGGGTGGGGTGGGTGGGTGGAGCTGCAGCAATAGCATTTGCACAACCCCAACCTCATCACTCCCAGTAAGTAGCAGTGACTATGCTGCTGGGAGGCTATTGCTGCTGCTCTGCCACACTGGGCAAATGGAGAATGTTGGAGGTTTTAAATTAAAGCCTCTCTCCCTCTGAAGATATAACCATCAGCTTACTAAAGAGCATTTGCAATCAGATATTCATTTGGGGAGATATGTGGACCCAAACCCTTTTAATCAAGGCTTTTCATTATGAGGTGAATGCATGTTAGGAAAAACTGGGTAGGGAAGAAAGATAGAATGACACAGTAGTGAAGTCCTACCAGCCAATCTTGGCAAGTTTCTTAAATTTGGTACAGGTGTTCCTACCACTAGAGCAGTGTTTCCCAAACTTGGGCCTCTAGCTGTTTTTGGACTACAACTCCCATCATCCCCAGCTAGCAAGATCAGTGGCAGGAATGATGGGAATTGTATTCCATAAACAGCTGGAGACCCGAGTTTGGGAAACACTGTGCTAGAATGTAATGATGGGACATTTCACCCAAAGAAGTAATAAGTAGCTTTTCCATCCCTGTGGTTTCTTAAATATGCAAGCAAAATAAACAAATATATAAATAAGCAGGGTAGGCAAAACATATTTATTAATCAAATGTGCTTTGGACCCTACTGGCCCTTCTTTGGGGAAATCAAGACCCAGTTCCATTTTTCGTGGGGGGGGGGGGTTGTTCTCATTTCTGTTGCACTTTTCAGACATGCCACAGATGGTTTCTGAATAATTTATTGTAACAAGCTAGATACAAGTAACAGCTGCTTAAAACTAAGTTTGTTCTCATTCTCTCTGTTAATCCCATATTTTTCCTAGACTACAGCCTCCATGGTATGCACGGTATGTGTTTAAGAAAGCACACTGAAGGGTACTAATTCGACTGTCTTATATTTTACTGGAAAAACAAAGATGCTGCAGTGAAAATGAGTCAGGATATGGCAAAAGGCTTAATTACTGCCACCCATTTGAAGAGCTGCAGCCATACTTACCAGCAGCTGGTTTTCTGTGAGAACTAACTCAGTAAGGCTTTCACAGTCTCCTACTGCTTCTGTTAACTGAACAAGCCGGTTCTGGTCAACCTTCAAGATGGATAGGTTTTTTAATTTACCTACAAGCAGAAGAGAGAAGTTTATGCTAGTTACTTTAACTGCACCAGTAGCAAATATGTGGAATAAAACACTTGCCATACATCATTAGCAGGTATTCTAAAATACTTGAGGTGTGCCAGCAAAAATTTGTGGTGATGTTGTTTCTAATAAGGCATTTTCAAATATAATTATTTCAGGTATGTTTATAATCTAGAAAATGAAAAAACAAAACTCCATGTGACTTTTATCTAAGTTTTTTTATCCAAGTTCTTTAATGATAGCTGTTGCAGAACAGGAAAGGACAATATAATCAAGAACCATTGAGGTACACCTTCCATCAGATAAACTGAGAATAAAAGTTATGAAGCAAAAATGTGCAAACAACCTTCTAAGTGATTTATGTAAGATGATCAAGCCTGGCTACACCTGGCTTGCAATGTTTTTAGCCAATGAGTGAATTCAAAGCAGTGATGGATGAGTGAGTTGTTTAGATACCAGGATATAGGAATCACTGGGGTTTAATGGGGCTTAGTCTTAGATTTCTTGTGAAAAAGCAACGGGACAGTTCAAGATGGGAGGAGGGTTGTCATTATCAATGCAGATATAGGTAGACCACTATGTTTAAACTAAGTTGATTTAAATTTCTTAAAAATCAAATAATTGTGACACAATTACATTATTCAATGAAAACAAATTCCATTTTAAATTTATGCTAGTTATTTCAGTGGTTCTGCTGTGCAGCAAAACACCGAAAAGTAGGGAAAGGCTTTGTTTTTATTTTTAAATAAGCAATTAGGAAAAATGCTGACCGTATGCTTTTCCTTACTATTTCACCTGTAAAAGCAAAATAGTAAAAAGCTTTTTAAAATGAAGGAAGATTACTCTGTTGTCCACAGTCCCTTATTAGTGTCCGTTGTAGATCACGGGACTCTCCCCCCACGCCCACCCCAAAAAGCTCAACAATTTATAGTGGGAGTAGATCTCAGTCTCTTGAAAGTTGGACATGCCTGCCTTATGGCACCACCTCTTTGGAATAAATCTTCTGTGCACACTTATCTGTGAGTAAGCTCAACTCAGAACAAGTGGGAGTTATGCATCCAACAAACACAGTAATCAGGCCAAATTAAGTTTGGTTAAAGCCACAGAGTTGTACCAATGCATATGTGTGTATGTGTGTGGGGGGGGGGGAGTCCTTTATAGTACAAAGCTGCATCTCAGGTTAAAGGAAGCAACATTTGATGCCAGCACTAAGTCTCTGTTTTTTGCCATTTTATGGTAAGTTAAGTGAGTTTAAAATCTGAAACTGCCCATTTTCAGAGTAATTTCTTTTCGTTTAGCAAGGCTAGCAAACTGTCTTTTGCTTGTGTTTAGCTGACTACTGTAAAAATTGTAGTTGCTATTTTTTTGTAGTTTATGAAAGCTTATGCCATAATAAATTTGTTAGGTACTTTAAAATACTTCACAACTTGCTTTGTGTATTTGGTGCGGGGAGGGGAGACAACTACTTTGCAAACTGCACCATGGCCCCCAATCACCTTATTCCAGCCTTGATTTCAATATATCCTCAACAACCCTGTAAAGTATGTTAAGCCAACAGAGGTTGGCTTCCCAAGGCTACCCACCAAGCTTCATAATGCAGCAGGGATTTGAATTCGGGTCTAATTCCATATTTCCATCCACTGGATATAAGACACAGGTGTAGAAATTCATGCATTTTTAGGATAGTTGCTTTTGGGGAGGGCAGTTTCATTTTTAATGCTGTGGCCACAGTGAGAGAGTCTGATGAAAGGTAATTAATGGCCTCATTCATAAGCCTCCAGTTGCCCTCTCCGTAATAGGTAATTGGTTATGTACCAATAAAAAATTGGCAAGGCACAGCGAGTAAAAAGGAAACTGCTGACTGACTGCTGTGGGCTATATCACCAAGAGTTAGAGTACTAAGGGCAGCAGCCAGGATGTTTAGCAAGTGGGAGGAAGGCAAGGACAAAGAGGGAGAGGCCTAGGCAGCACCAGACAAGATAAGGCAATCAAAATAAAGCTTGCGAAAACAGAGATATTACAGTGGGAAGAATCTCATGTGAGATGTTTTCTTAAGAGTATTCCCTTACTGTACCTGAAAACCATTGTACTTGAGTTACTATTATTTTCATAGCAACATCAATATGTATAGTGCTTTAACTAAAGCAAAAAAATAAAACTAGGTCCCTGCCCCAGGAAGCCTGCCAGCAATAGTGGGAAAGGAAGAAATGTCGCAAAAGAAATGGATGCAACCAAATGAATTTGCAGCTATCACACTTCATTTAAAAATGACCACAGGACATAAATGGATTTGAGAGAGAGAACCATGTTGGTATTCCAGAACAAAGCTACAGGCTCAAGTGGGAGAAAGATTTAACAGCCTGTATCATGGAAGACGCAGGAGTCTTTTGAGCAGATGAGGTAGCAGCAGAGAGTGACTAACTACAGCTTACAAGTCCATCTGAGTCCAGACTAGTTAACATTAGTCTTAAGCACCAATTTACTAAAACGGAAGCAAGCTGTGGTTTATTATACTAGTTTGTTTTTATCTCTCACTTTTCCTCCCGGGATCTCAGAGTGGCATATATGATTCATTTTCGTCCCTTGCTTTATTTTCACTGTCACTGCAGGAAGTAGGTTTGACTGAGAAGAACCAAATGGCCTAAGGACAACCAATGAGCTTCATGACTAAGTAGGGATTTGAACCTTGATTTCTCCCAGATCCTGGGCCAGACATTCTCTAACCCAGGCTTCCTCAACCTCGGACCTCTAGATATTTTTGGCCTACAACTCCCATGATCCCTAGCTAGTAGGACCAGTGGCCAGGGATGATGGGAAATGTAGTCTCAAAACATCTGGAGGGCTGGCTCTCTTCACAGCTTAAAGTTTGGATACAATACTAAATTGAGGATAGACAAAAGCAGAAGCTATTACTATTCTGCTTATGGCCCCGCCTGAGGAGGAAAGTGGCTGGAGAATACATGAGTCCAAGAGTCACACAAACTCAATCTTGCAACCCTAAACCAAGGGCTAGTGTTATGTGTAAATGCAGCCAATGTACTGTGCTGTCCTTTAGCAGCATTAGTCCAAAGCAGAAATTTCTTTGAGAAAGAAATTGTTCCATTGGAAATGTTTGGACTTGATTAAATTCTTGTTCCTCTATTTTATTTTATTTAAAAACACTTTTCACTTACCTACGCCATCTGGTAGCACCTCAAGAAGGTTCTGAGAGATGAGTAGGTCAGTTAAAGACAGCAGACCGCTTATTTCTTCAGGCAGTTTTTCCAGTTTGTTTTCGGAGATATCCAGGCATAGCAGGTTTTTCAGGCTTCCTATTTCCTACAAGACAAACATCTAAGTCATGTCTCAACATGCAGCACCCAGAGATCTGACAACTGCCCCATAACAAGATGCGTAACAGCAAAAGGGCAATTCCTCTCTGCCAGACGACAACTCGTTTCTGATGATATCACAAGTGATTCACCAGTAAAATCTCTGTGTGCAATACCTAGCATGTGCTAACAGTCCAAGTTAATTTGCTGACTTATGAGTGCAGCCCAGCGCTGCCAGCCAGTCATTCATTCAACAGTAGCCAACACCCAGTTCTGAATACTATTCAAGGTGAAAGGGCTAAACATGTAAAAGCTTAGGCACACAATTAGTCAAATCAGTCCTTGCTGACTAAAGCTTCAGTATCAGTATATGGGGAACCTGCCTCTGCATTCCTTATAAGAAGAAATATGTCTAACAGGGGGATATTTTAACTATTTAATCTCACTGAATTGTATACCAAGTTTTGCCATTATACCATCAATGTTTGGATTACAGTTAGCCGAAGATATGGGTGCTTTATGTTGAATTCTGCTCACATGCCAGCGAACCCGCACTATAAAATCCACACCTACACACATTTTCTCATAGTTCATCTCCCAAGTTATCAAAACACTCGTGTTGCTGAATCGACACAGGTGGAAAGATAGCAGAAAGCAGACATCCCAAAACAGCAGCTTGCTCTTTCTATGTAGAGCATCTCTCACGTTCCTCATCTTCCAAACAGAAAACTATGAAAAGCAGAGGTGGGAAACCTGGAGCTCAAGGGTCAAATGCAGGCCTCCAGGCCCCAAAGCATTCCCCAGGCCTTACCCCCTCTGCTTGGGCAACACCTCACGTCATCTTTAAATACATTTGATAAGTCTACTGCTTCTTGGATAGAGTGGTGTGAGGAGCTACAGAAAACATCTGGCATTTGAGTAGCTGAAATGTAGCCTATTCTACAAAGGTAAGTGCCCCATTCATTACTTTGCCCATTTTAGTCCCTGCCCACCTGCCCTAATGTTTGCCTCTGGTCACACCCACTTTTACCTTTGGCCCCCTTCCCTGGCATGTGACCACACCCACCCACAAGAAAGGTCAACCATGAGGAAATGAATCCATCAGACTGAAAAGGATTCACCACTCTTTGGGGGGGGGGCGTAATATCCTTGAGAGTCACCTACTTTCCCCCCGAGATTATCATGGCCCCTTCCACTTCCTTGCAGTTACATGACACCATAGCTGTCAGCTTTTCCCTTTTCTTGCGAGGAATCCTATTCGGAATAAGGGAATTTCCCTTTAAAAAAGGGAAACATTGACGGCTATGCATGACACATAAGTGACCTCTCCGCTGTGAGGCAGAGAGGGAAACCGATCCATGCCTAGCAATGGGTTTCTGGAGGAGTCACTGACATCACATCCCTTCCCCTGTGCTTCTTCAGCTTCAAAACACACATACAAAGATGAAAAGACATTTACAGGCGGAAATCAAATATTACATAATCTTTAAATGGACACTTTGTCTTTTTTAAATAACAGGATATGAAGGGCTTAGATTTCCCCTTCAGTCATCCAATAATAATAATGTTCGATGTAGTTCAGTGTAATTTAAAAATTTATGAGAATTGTCTCTTACCTGAGGTAATTCAGCCAGCTGGTTCCCATCTAGCCAGAGATCTTTAAGATTATAAAGTGCACCTATAGTTTCTGGCTGCAACACGTGAAAGAAAATGTATCATGAATACCATTGCAAAATACTTTTAAATACACAGGGGAATCCGAAATAACATCATTTCTTCAGCTAAGTATCCTTTATAGCCAAATCAAGAATGCAGAACTCCTGCAAGCATTACGCCTGTGTTTGCTATATCCAAAGTCCCATAGCAAAGAAATCTCACAACAAATAGGTGCAGCCATTGATAAGGAATAAGCACAAAACCTGTGTCTCCTCCTGGTTCTTGGCTGCTCAAGCATGCCATTACTTAGCACTGCTAGCAGTTCAGAACTTCAAGGAGGAGGAGAAATGGTATCTCAACATGTTGCAACAACTCCACTTCCAGGGTCAACTCCTGATAACCCTAACCACATCCCAAAACACTCCAGCCGACATTCCACAGCCCTTTCTTCAGTTCATGGAAGTGAAATCTTTTCCAGGCAACATTCGCAGATACAGAGTTTCTTGATTACAACCGCAACCTATAATGTGCCTGAAACATTGTAACGAGAAGCGCTTCATTTTCACCAACGACAGAAGGGCCATCTCCCTATGTTCTAAAGTGCTGGGATCTAAGAGTTTCACATTATTCTGACGGGCCACTATTTTGAGAAGTTACGTTTTATTATTTCTTGCTAGAAAAACCTGGCAATTTTTTCTTTCTCTTTAAATGAAGTTATATGACCCGCTTGAAAGAGGAACATGCCAAGAAGAGCAAAATGCCAAGACAAACAGTGCAACTAAAGCCCGTAAGCAAACTTACTACCAACTTGCAATGACTCTATATGTACTGCAATAGAGCCACACACACACACACACACACACCCCTCCCCCCTGCTTTTTAACAGTGAGCTTCCAAAACCACACTATAACATTAACGACCATTATTAAGAATTTAACCTCAGAATATTTTTAGTTGCTATAGTCTGTCTTCCATGCACATTCTCTGTGGTTATTAAATGAGAGCCTGCACTGTTTTTAATTTTTTTTCATGCTCTGCCTTCAGTGCCACATCAGTGGATAGGGGAAAAGAACTAAAAAAGAGAAGCAGCTGGAATGTTAATCTTGCCTAGTTTGGGGAAGATATATGTATATATATATAATTTGTGATTTCATACTGTACAGTTTGAGCTTATTTTAGTGTGTGTGTGTGTGTGTGTGTGTGTGTGTGTGTGTATCTGTATTTTAAAACATGAATTAAACATTAAAGCAGTTAAGGAGGGCATGTGGGGATTTTCTCTTGATGTGCTTGCCATTTCTGTCACTAGTGAGGACTGTTAAAAAGAAAAACACTACAAACTGAGTGGCATAAAAGCAAGTCTTAAAAAGAATTTGCAAATTTTCAAAAAAGGGGGAAGGGAAATATAGTTTTGGAAAGCTGAGGCGAAGAAGAATTTAGAGGCGATGACTATAAGGACAAGCCTACAAAAATAATCTATACAGGGAACACGATGGGCGAGTCTACATAAACAATAATCTATACAAGGAAGCATCACCAAGTTGTGACAACCTTTCACTCTTCTATGGCTGTATACATGTCATGTGTGCATTTATACATTACCTGCACGAAAAAGAAGTCAAACAGAAGAAAGGTAATGCTAATTTTAAGTGCTCTCCATTTCACCCAAGAAAAGCGTATGTATGAGAACATGTGGGCATATAGTAATTTCAGTGAGTTCGCATTTCATTAGTATTAACTTTTGTAAAAAGAAAAAGATGATCATCCTAGACTAGACAATGGTGTGAATAGCCCATGGCACTCAAAGTGGGAAAGCAGAGTAGTGGGTTTTTCAAGCCCTCTCCAAAGTACATCTTAAGACCAACTGTCTATGTTTTAACATTGTCCTATTTTGACAGACTATAAGAGATGTGGTGGCTTTCCTTCTTAGATGTTGAGAAGGTGCCAACTGGAGGGCAATCAGTCTCAACAGCAGATCGCTGGTTATTCTGCTTCAGGAAGTGGAAGCAAACCACAGCCTTCCTCCAAGAGGCTGTTTTCACTCCATTTCGTTTGAATGGGATGGCTGCTTGGAAGCTCCTCCTCAAACCCTTGTTATTCATAAAAGCTTCTCATCCATGGACCACATGATTAGATCCTCTTCTCTTGATAAAGCATGAGCAACAGGTGCTGCACTTGTGTACCCAAGATGGAGTTACATTCCTCAATAACCTTCTATAGTCTCCTTGCAAGAGGTTCCCTATCCACGTCCACAGCCCATAAGGCAGCCCTTCGAACACAGATGCTTTCGGGTCCCAATAAGCAAAGACAGTTCCAAATGCCACTGGAACGAACAGCGTTAATTGCAATCAGTACAAAATCACACTCTGGAAGCCTTGCTCTTTTCAGATGTCACTGTTGCCAGTTTGGGAATTTGCATACTAATGCACCAACACTATAAACCAGGGGAAAGTGTGGGAAGCTTACCAAATTATAAAGTTCATTATTCCCTAGGTCTAGCTCTTCTAGTCTCTGCAGCTGGGCAACTGACCTAGGAAAACAAGAATAGTGTATTTTGTACACATGGCTTTAAAAGCAGCCTATTAGCATTAGGGCTAGGACATTCCCCTCTTAATTGTTGAATAACATTCACACAAATTAAATTAAAAGATGCTAATGAAAATGTTGCATTCCAGTGCCATCTCTTTGTACCGAATGACTCATTTAAAGAATGGGGTTGGAGAAAGAAAGGGAGGCAGAAATGCTGCAATTCATGCCATGAACGCAAAACAAACTTAAAACGAACAACTTACTCAGGTAAATATGTCAACAGATTCTCTCTTAATTCCAGTGATGCCAGGTTATAAAGGCTAAAAAAGATAAAACAAACCTCATTAATCCTTTGTCTTTGTTTAAAAAGAACATTAAAAATAATTTCCAAAGGGGTAGCGGTATTAGTCTCTTGCAGCAAAAATAAAGCGTCTTATGGCACATCTTAAAGATTATGGCATAATCTTTTTCATGGATTCATGCCCACTTCAAAAGCCATGAAGAGTAAATGGCAAATACAAGATCATTTACTTATATGGATGTGTAGGGAGACCTTCCACATATCACAATAACAAGAAAAGGCACTGGTGGATACACATTATTCAAACTGTTGGGACGGAGATCAATAAAAAACATTAAGGAAAATTGGACTTTTACCCCCTTACAGTGCTATTACAACTTGCAAAAGACTGATCCATTTCATGTTTCACATTGCTTAGACACCAATAACTCAACACTAAAAGAAAACTAATGCTATTAGTGAATCTGTGTAGATTAATAAAATCTGGAACACATAGATGACAAACTCTTGCAATGAGAATGTGTTAAGGCAAATGAGAACCTATTTTAAACAAAACTGGTGGTTATAAAATGAGTACCCAGACAATGAATGAAAACATACACACTTAAATTCAAAGTTGAAAATGTTTGTTTTTGAATGAGTGGTGGAGTAGAGACAAGAAGAAAATGATGAATTGCCTGGATGTGTCACACAATGGTTAGGCGTCAGTGTGTAAAGCTTCCCCCCTTTTTTTCAATTAAAGAAAACGTGCCTTTGGTATACGAACTACATTTATTGGTTCAGCGCATCTCCAGCTATCCATAACTTCCCATTTATGGAGTGTTCATCATTGTAAGTGGCATTACACGACTAAGCTAAGCTTTCCACTCACTTGCCATCATAGTAAAAGCCTGTCATCACCATAGTAACAAACAATTCCCCCACCCTGGCTAGGGTTTTATTTAGGACCAAATGGAACACAAGGTATCGGACATTATCCCAATGCTGTAATCTGCCTTAATCCTCCAACCTCCCTGAACAAAAACAAAAAACAGAAATGCATGCCCATATTTTCTGCATCATAGCTGCCTCTGCCTTAAATTCCAGAGGGGCAGCCATGCTAGTCTCTTTTGCAGAAAGACACAACAAAGGGCTCTGTGGCACTGTAAAGAACAACAATGTTATTGTAAGCGTAGGTTTTCATGGGCTACAGCCAAAGCTGGTCAGATGCATGAAATATTACTTCACTTAGCAGATAAATCATGGGTAAAAGTGGGGAGGGGAAGGGTCACCAACACTGCAGCCATAAGCCTGTGACATGCAAAGTTAGAAGTTTGGTCTGCAACACTGTTATGCTAATAATACGTAAAGAGAATTAATTGCATAGTGTAGTGGGAAAGAGACCTCCCTGTCGCTACTGAATAAAGTCAAGTTCACACATAAATTTTGGTTGCAATTTCACAATATACCCACCCTTTGAAATGTATTGTCACTGTACTCAAAAGTGACAGTGGTTAGGAATACGTCTAGGCCTGCCATGCCCTGTTACGTTCCTTGTAGACTGAATTCCACGGAAACCACTCGGACACACATAGGGTTACATTATCATAGCTGTCTCAGTGGTGGCCAAGGAAACCTCAGAATGGCATCTGAGACTTCTCTAGTCACATTCCAGCTCTGCCCTCCCTCTGGTCATTTTTGTGTCATGTGACAGCTGAGTAGACACTATCCTGACATCACCTCCGGTTTGTTTGTTTTTTAAATGAAGTTTTATTGCATTTTTTCACTATACAATAAAAGACCAGCTAATCTACACAAAGAATAATAAAAGGAGAGAAGAGAAAAAAGATGGAAGAGATTGAAGAATACAAAATCCTCTCTCACAATGTACCTTAACTTTTGTCTCATACAGAAAAAAGATGTGTCTTCCCAGCTCCCACCTGGAGCATCCCTCTCTTCTCCCAGTCTCTCACCCTGGGATATCTCCCCTTCCCTGTCTCTCTCACAGGGTCCTTCAAACTGTCCATTACCTCTGTTGAAAGCACAGTGGTGTTAATCTCGGGTTGCTATGCTGGCACAACTCCCTGGGCCCAGATTCCAGTTCAAGCCATGGGATTGTGAACTTAGAACAGCGGGGTGTTCTGCAGTAACATATAGGTGTATCATTCACTATTGCCTCTTTTGGGGAAGGAAATGCAAAGTATACTGCTACAGTATGTACACATTTTGGGAGGGAAAACCCCAATGTTTTCCCATCCAACGTCCAGTGTTTCAAAGCTCTGTTCAAGTATAAATTCCATGCAAGAAATATTGCCAAGCCAACACAGGGAGTATGCAATTTCTGAAGTAATTACAATTGTTGTTTTTCTCCCTCGGCATTCCAGATGTCTTTTCTACTTTTAAGTATGGGATCAATTAGAAGCCTGTGGGGGCTACATTCCAAAACATGCCCTTTTCAGAAGAACCAAGTTGCTGGCGCAGTTTCAAATCAGAGCAGCGCTTAAAATATGCTGGCTTCATTCAAATATTTCGAAAGTAATGTAGCTATCTATTAATGCAGCTAAACCATAACTAGAAGCTGAGGTCCACCTACTCTGGGTATGTATAGAAGTGCACAGACCTATCTATTTCCTACTAGACATCTATAATTCGTTCTTCCTATACCATTTTGGTAGGTGAGAATTCAGTTTGTCCGATACAAGAAACTGAAGAAGCAAGCAGTATCTTTAGTTACTGTGGCTCAGCAAAGCTGTCCTGTAGCTATGCATGAAACACATACTTATAAGTCAAGCAAAATGTACTGTGTGGTGTATGAAGCAAGTATATTATATTATAATATACTATGCCTCTACAATTGTATGTTTTTCTATCCCCATATACTTGCTGCCTTTGCTATTTCTACTGCTGTCTTTATTTTCCCTATTTATGTATTGCAGCCCTGTAGATGACTGGTCTGAATGAATGTTCCAGAATTACTACAGGGAAGAAAGCAGGGTGGGAACAGAGATGAACTGCTAATTATTATAATAAACAAATAGGACATTAAAACTCTTGCTTCTATAGCACTATCAAAAAAAGCTACCAGTGATAAGAACCATAGACCTCTAAAGTTCCAGGCTTCACAGGAACCCCAGAAGTGAAATTCCACGTGGCATTCCAGGGGATAGATAGTATGCAACCTTCCCCAGGAAGAATCAACATCCTGAGAATTCCCAAATTCCTAGGAAATGCGATAACAATCAGCCTGCCATGCACCTGAGAAATTTGTGAAGTGCAAAATGAATAGAGGAAGAGCCTAAGAGAACAGATTCAATAGCTAGAAGTGAAAAAGGTAGAAGACTCCCAGAGACCTAGAGCTGTTTTGGAGCAAGATCTCTGCATCCCCCAAACAGTGGAAGCTTCCACCATGCCCAACTGCACCTGAAAGCCTAGCTGTCAGAGCACTGATTCCTGATAAATACTTGCTGTGGGTCGCAGCAGATTTAAAAAGAATAATTTGTATCCTCAGTTGTACTGCTCTTCTGTAGTACAGGCAGATTTCCAGATATCTGGAACAAGCTGTCACACAACTTAACCAGTACTCTACTAATAATCTATCACATATAATGTATTGAAACCTGATCATACAAACAGTTCCAGCATACATAACAGAGGGAGGCCAAGGGTCCTACCCACTTAATTTTAAACCATATCCGGTTTCCTCTGCAAATAGACAGGGAACTGCAGCTAGAGCATGAGATATAATAACTGAATATAATGTATGGAATATATTTTGCGTACATAACCCACAGAATTACTCTTTTTAATCACATTTCTTGCCATGTTTCCCCCTTTTTCTGTATTCAATTCTGTATGCTTATTTGCAGGTGTCATTTGTATTTAACACACATTATACATAATTGGTTCATGTTTTTGAATGCCAGCCCATAAGCGTGTGTGCACGCACACACGCAGACAAGCACACACAGAACAAACTACTGACTCATATTCATTGTACAACAAAAAGTGATACCAAAGTTACCAAGTAGATCTTAAGTACTTCCTGAAGGTCAGGGGACTGCGCTATTTTTACAGCGAGTTGAATCAGGCCCCCTCAGTTTGTACGTGGGCATAACTACATGCCCATTATGTAAAAGAAAACAATTATCAAAAGATGAAAGCAAAAAGAACAAAAGTTTTTTTTAAGCTTCATGTTCCCTCTGTTCTACCTATGGAGAACCTCTAATTTTATAGAAGTGAATTCTGTTTTTGGTTCAATAAGTACTAAAATCAACAATTGCAATGGGAAGTTAAAAAGTGCTTTGACTCCCTGAGTTCACAAAGGCAGTAATCTTTTTCTTGAAGGTGTTATTGATTTAAAATATTACCCAAGTGTATTTATAGATACTTTTTGTGCATATGTGTAGGTTAAGGGGGCTCTTTGCTCTGCTTTTATTATATAAACCCAGTGAAATAAAACTTCAGCAGCAGGCAACATCTAGCAATAAACAATAGAACTTTTATCGTAAATTATCATAAAATGGCTGGGAGCAGAAAGAGGCTTTTCACCAGGTAACCAAATGAATGTTAATGATGGTCCCAGGCAGATCTAACTGAGGAAGAACATTCAACAGGTGAGAAGCCACAACTGATAAGGTCCTCTCCCCTTGTCCCCACCCTCCAAACTTCCCTAAGAGGGGCAAGTGGAGGACGATGTCAGATGAAGATCAAAAGGCCCAGGAAATGGGATCCAAAAGATAGTGGAATCCTGAATTGTGCTAGATCAGGATTTCCCAAACTTGCATCTCCACCTGGTTTTGGACTACAACTCCCACCGTCTCTAGCTAGTCAGGGATGATGGGAATTGTAGTCCAAAAACAGCTAGAGACCCAAGTTTGGGAAACCCTCTGCTAAATGCTTTTATTTTATGAAAGGTTTTTAATTGTCTTGTGGCATTTTATATGGTTGGCCACCCAGAAAAACAAGTTATTGGGCAGTTTTATATAAATCTAGGGGATTTTTTTAAAAAACATATGCTTCTTTTAAGATATGGAACTTCATATTTTCGAGACTGTTCAAAGACTTTAGGATAATAGTGTCCACATAAAAGTGATCAACTAAGCATTGCTTAGTTATGAACTATTATATAGAGTTCTTATATATTTATTTACACCCTGTCTTTCTGCCTGATGGGACTCAAGTTGGCTTACAGATTTAAAAAAAGAAAGAAATATAGAAGAAACAAGCATCAAAAGACAATTAAAATTTGATAGGATAAAAACTATATACATACATAAAAGCTGTTTAAAACATAATTGCTATAAAAACAGCACAGCAGTTGCCCTTTCATTTAAAGCAGTCAATTCCCAAAAGCCTATTGGAACAAGGTGGTCTTCAACTCTGCTCTGCCAGTGGGTTGTGTCGGTAAAGCTTCCGATAACAGATTTAGAAAGTTTTCCATTACATTCAAATATTGGAAACTGGTTTGTTCTAGGCAGTTAATCAGCCAGAATCTGAAACCACAGTTTGATTAGCCTGAACCAAATGCAGTTATAACAGTTTCCCATGTTTGGATGTAACAGAAAACTATGGTTCATTAAAAATTGTGACAGGAAGCCTTAAAACTTGCTCCTCACACAAATGCAGGAAGAAGAGTGGAAAGCTCATTATTCTAAATCATCATGAGCATTCAATTTGTCTGAACAGGGACACTATCTCCATGAGATATTGAATCTTATGAATTTTAGGTGAGTTTTTATACAAGGCATTCTTCCAGCCTGAAGTGTTGTATCTGTACACATATGTTGAGAGAGGGGGGGGGGCTTACTTCATACAAGAGAAGGAGAATTCTGCATTAAAATAAGGGTTAAAAGTAATTAATGAATGGATGGTGGGATGCAAATTTGAACTGGAGACTTGCCAGCTTACCTGATAGCCATGCTACCCCAGCTCTAGATGACCTAAAAGATACTTGCAAAATATCCTGAGGAAAAAACAACCAGTTTTCTATACCATGTTCACAGGTATTTAGGCTTACACATAAAATCCACCATTGACAAATTTCAGGCATCAAATTTTTATTTTATTTTAAAATGAACTTACTTTCCAATGTTATCAGGTAATGCTTGTAGAGAGATATCATTTACAGAAAGACATGTTAGATTCTGCAGCTCAGGAAAGCTTTCAGGCAACCTAGAAAAAAAGAAAAGTACAGATCAGCCAAGGACAGCAGAAAAGGACATTTCCATCTCTCTCTCTCTCTCCTCAGCATCTTGCCATGGAGAAGCACTGCATGGTTTACATTGCAGCAGCTAGGAGTTGAACTTTGCTCTGCTATTCTTCCAGTGCAATCCTTAAAACCAAAATGCCAGTTTGTTCAAACACAAATGGAAAAAGTAAATCATCTAAATTGTGCTAAGTGGTTCAGTTTTGTTAATTGTGTGTGATTGTGTGTGTGTGTGTGTGTGTGTGTGTGTGTTAACATATATTTTCTTCTCCAATGTGTTGTTGTTGGAAGGGCCTTTCTTCCCACCACCTCCTTTGCATTGCTTTCATCATACGACTGTTTTCTCAAGGACAAAGAGGGAAAAAATAAAGCCTTCTCTCTCTTGCAACCAGGCAGCTTGGCCTGCAACAAGGCACACAGCACATGCTGTTTTTTTTAAAAAGCAAATCAATAGTTCATTAAAGTGGAACAGAGCCACAACACTGAATCCAACTAGACTGACAAAAGGCAAACATCAATCAGCTGCTGTGTCTTCTTTCCTTAGCCCTACATGCGAGGAAGACGGCTGTCATTCACAGGAGCTCATTTCAATACAAGAATCTGCAGCAGATTAGATATCATCTCTCATGATCCTCTAGTTCAGTCAAGGCTTAATTGCAGTGAAAGAAAGATTAACATCACTTTCTCCATGTAAATAATTAGCCCCTTAGGAGGCGATAAACAGCCTCTGTTCTTGTCTAAATGTATGTTGTGTGTTAAACAGGAAGCAGTTAGTTGTTGATGGGATCGATAAACAGAATAGGAAGTATTGCAGCTTAACTAAGGCTGCACTGCTTGCCTCAATTGTAATGTGCAAATGTTCAGGGGCTGAAAAAAGCAATGAGGCAGCATAAGGGACCACCCAAGGCAGAATATGATCAGCTTGCCCCATTCTCACTTGAGATTTTGTATTCTGGAACAGGTAAGAAATATTAATCCCTTGCATCGTTCTGAGCAGCACATGCTGCACATTTAAACTGCCGTTTTTCCTTGGTAAAATGCACAAAGCAGACATCCCTCCCCCCAGACATATATAATTGCTTGCATTCTGCTGAGAAAAACAGCAGCCATTCATAATTGTCATGAGGTGCCCGTATTTTGCATCCTGTGATGAAACACACAACGCCATGCAAAAAGTAGCACAGAGGTATCTGAAGAAATCTGTCCACTTTCCTTCAGCATTTATGCATCACACTCAGCCATTAATTTCCACCAGCTGCTGCAGTCTTAAAAAAATAATGGCCTGGTTTAGAGGTGGTGTGTGCCCACATGCCTGAGCAGTCTCACAAATCATTAATAGTTCTTGAGCGGCTTCTCACATTCCCTCCCCCCAATTCTTTTCTGTGTAAGCTCATCTGATTCAGTGTTCCATATTATTCTGGGGGATGCAGGTCTTTGGCACAGACAAAAGAAACACCGTTGCCAATGCACACACCAACAGTTCACTGCCACAAAAAGAGATTGCATTAAGCAGCACAGAAATGTCGAATTTTTCACTGGCTTTTGCCAGAAGGTTAATGGCCTTCCCACCATTCATCAATTCTGTTTTTAAAGTAGCAGTCATTGGGTTTATGTGTTTCAAAAAGTAGTCCATCCACTTTTCATTTCATATTTTTCAATTACTTTTTTAACCACTGGGGATTCGACAAAGCAGTTTTGTATGCAGAATGAGATCCACTTGCACAATGGGAATTCAACCACCTTTACCCCTCTAATTTCAATCAGGAAGTTAATGGAACCCCAGAACAGGTTGAGGAAGGTGTGAGAGGAAGAGAGGGGTACAAGTCCCGTATTGCAAGTGAATCTTGTTCCCCACGTGAATGCTTCCATTTAGCAATGTGTTGGATTCTGCCCTCAAGTTTTATTATTGTATTTTGTAATCTTTTTATGCCACCATGGGCTCCTGCAGAGGAAGGGCACAACAGAAAACTGCCAAGTTCAAGCCAAATAGAAGATTACCTTTACACACAACACTTCTAAGACCTGAACACTTTTTGCAATTTTACCATTCATTCCATTTTATGAAGATTACCTAGTGAGTGGGTTCCCACTGAAGTCTGCTACCTGTAATGATTTGCAGAAGGAAATGCTTTCAGGGATTTCAGGAATATCTGCAAGGGAGAAAACAAAGAGTAAGAAACAGCAACCAAGAATCTACCATACCATCTCTATTTCAAAATCAAAGAATGGTATTCAACTCAGCTTTACTTAGAGCAGACACAGTGAAATGAATGAACATGATTAAATTAGGACCATTATTTTCAATGGGGGACACGGGTGGCGCTGTGGGTAAAAGCCTCAGCGCCTAGGGCTTGCCGATCGAAAGGTCGGCGGTTCGAATCCCCGCGCCGGGGTGCGCTCCCGTTGCTCGGTCCCAGCGCCAGCCAACCTAGCAGTTCGAAAGCACTCCCGGGTGCAAGTAGATAAATAGGGACCGCTTACTGGCGGGAAGGTAAACGGCGTTTCCGTGTGCGGCTCTGGCTCACCAGAGCAGCGATGTCACGCTGGCCACGTGACCTGGAAGTGTCTGCGGACAGCGCTGGCCCCCGGCCTCTTGAGTGAGATGGGCGCACAACCCCAGAGTCTGGCAAGACTGGCCCGTACGGGCAGGGGTACCTTTACCTTTACCTTTTATTTTCAATGGGCCTGCTCTGAGTAATGAGCAAATACCACCTTCACTGCATTTTAGATCCTACAAAGCAATACAACTTTGTAAGATCCTGTCTGGTAAATAAAAGCAATGATAGGTCTATATATAAATGCAAACCAATATCTATCATTTAGGGATTTCAGTGGAATCCAAAATGAACCGTTATGGCTCCACTAGCATTGTGTTTTACATCACCCTTTTCTCTCCCCTCATGTTAACACACCCTTGGCAGTGTTAAACACAGCTAAAGTTGCATGCGAATTCCCGTTCTTTTTAAAACACACACACATATACTGTAGGTGAAAAGGAAAACAAGCCTCTGACTGTTTTAGTAGCTTGGAAAGAGGAATGCAGCATAATCACAGCCATGAAGAACCAAGTCAGTTTCTGACACAGACCTCAAAAGAAAAGTCAATATGCGCTCAGGGACACCACAGAAGATTCCTTGGAGGTGGAATGGGAGGCAAAGGGCAAGGAGATTCTCAACAAGGTTTAAAAAGGTGGAGCTGTATATATTCTAGATTGCCATTATAATTTAATTGCAAAATAAAATACACTGGACAATAAAAGCAGGGCGGGATAATATCAATCTACACACGAGCGCACACTCCCCCAACCAACCAGAAGTAGCAGATGATAGGAACATAATGAAATATTGCTGAAGCAGAAAAAAACATAGAATTACAGAGCTGGAAGGGTCATCTAGTCCAACCCCCTACAATGCAGGAATCCCAGCTAAAGCATCCATGACAGGTGGCCATCCAACCTCTGCTAAAAAACCTCCAAGAAAGGAGAGTCCATCACTTCTTGTGGGAGTCTGTTCCACTGCCAAACAGCTCTTATGGTCAGATAGGTTTTCCCCCCGAATGTTTAGTCTGACTTATATTAAGTTTTGCGCTTGCATGATAGCTAAATATGAAGATTACGGTAATTTATAACACTCATTGTTAACCAGTTCAAATCCCCTGGAATATCCAGTCCTGAACACCAATGAATGCTGCTCTATAAACATGTGACATACAGATGCTCTGGCAAACAGTCAGTACACAGACACTGCTGAACAACAAGGCTATATAAACTGTGTGACACAGGACAGCGCAAACAGGCACATTGTCAGTGAATGTTAGGCCAGCTGAAGCGAGAAAACCAAGCGAGCAGCCTTCTGCATATAAAGTCACATGCACACCATATGTTCGAAGCGCTCTTGTACTGTTTTAATAGTCACGGTTTCCCCTTAAAGAATCCCGACAACTATAGCTTGTTAAGGGGTGTTAAGAGACACCTCAAAGAGTTACAGTTTCCATCGCCCTTGAACAACAGTTGCTAAGAGTCAATGTGCCATCTTAACCATCACTGTTAAAATGGTACAGTGGTACCTCGGGTTACATATGCTTCTGGTTACAGACTCCACTAACCCAGAAATAGTGCTTCAGGTTAAGAACTTTGCTTCAGGATGAGAACAGAAATCGTGCTCCGGCAGCGCAGCAGCAGCGGGAGGCCCCATTAGCTAAAGTGGAGCTTCAGGTTAAGAACAGTTTCAGGTTAAGAACGGACCTCCAGAATGAATTAAGTACGTAATCAGAGGTACCACTGTATAGGGGTGGATGTACAGCAGGCAAGGCCTAAGATTATGCCTTTTTCCATTTTCTAGGCACAGTTGTCTTCTCATTATTTGCTGCCACAGCTTCAAATATGAATTGCACCCACCCATAGCTGATCTTAAAGTCTAATCTTAAAGAAGTGTACAAGTTTCATTAGGAACATAATGTAATGCTAGTTATTTACACTGCTTCACTAAAATGCTACCGAGTTCGATATAACTTTGCTTTAATCACTGCAAGTGAAATGCTAGACATTATGAGTTGAGGCACTGAGGCAAGGAAGGAGGCACCGGGGTGTGTGTGTGTGTGTGTAAATATGGCTGTGTGCACAGAGATGCATTGTGCTTCATATTATTCACCCCCCCTCCCTCCCATGAGGTTCCTATAAGCAGAGGCTGAAGTTTTCTTTTCTCTGCACAGCCACTCTGAAGTTTGTAACTGCGCTTAAAATGTTGGCTTATTGGTACAGTGAAATTACATAATGATGGATCATGAAGACTTACCGCGTTTACATTAAGGACAAATGAGAGCAATTTAAAACAAAACAAAAATACAAAAAACCTGCAGACTCTGCCAAGCTATCATTATTAGGCTATGTATTTCAGAGGAGAAAGGTGTACGGGCTTTATGGGCTTAGGAAAAAACTAACCCAGCATAGGTACCCTGTATGACTATCACCTCCCCAAATGCCCTTCCTAAGCTGCATTGCACCACTTCCAAACAACTTCCAAGTTCCACAATTTTAGATGGATGAATCAGCAAAAGCCACAAGTGTGTGGACTCCAAGTCGCCCCACTCATTGTCTCCTTCTCATACGATTTCATACACACACCACATTCATCTACTGTACTCATTTCCCCAATCTCTCTCTCTCTATCTCTCTCTCTCTCTCTCTCTCACACACACACACACACACACAAGTTGCTACATTCACACATACCACTCATCCACTGCCAAGTCATCTCTCTCTCTCTTTTTCTTTTTCCCCTGCCCGCACCATCCCTCCTCCTCTCACCCACACTTTCCCCCTGAGCCTACTTGGTTGGGAAAGGGGATTCAGCATGAAAACTCCCATTGGCAAAAATGCAACATTTCCCTCCATATCTAACAGGGGAAAATGTTCAGAGGGGACCACAGTGTGCAGGGAGGCTTAACCCTCCTCTCTCCCCAGTGGCTGCCACACATCCTAGGGCAATTAGGTGTAGATAAAATGGTCCCTGTTTGCATAAATGGGTTCCTTTTTTCTAAGCTTAATTGGTGCGTGGGAATTGGGCTGAGGAAGGAAAAGTGTAGCTGAATCCAAGGCAGAGATGGCCACGTCTGGCTCACTGGTCAGAAATTCTCCAACCCTGTTCTTCAGGATATATAGATGTTGTAGCAGTCCCAATAAATTTATTTTAAGCAACAAATTTATAGGCCACTTCACAGGGGGGGAAACCATGAAAAGCAGTGTGCATAATAAAAACAGAAAACACAAGCTCTTAGAACAATGAAAGCAAGTCAACAAACTCTAAATCAATAAAGCTAGATGGAAAAGATAATGTTAGCCATTCTACCAGGTGTTGAACTTAGAACTTGAACATTTCAGTTACTCCTCTAATTGTTTGCAAATGTGTGTAAATATTTGCATATTTTTAAAGTGGTTCAGTATTAACAAATACAGCTAACTTTCATACCACACCCTTGCATGCAATATGTCATAATGCTACCTGAGAAACCTGTAAAGGAAGATTTTTTTTCAGGGTTTTTTAAAAAGTGGGAGGTGCAGGAAATAATTAATCCACATTACCTACTTCTTCATCCTTTATATTTACATTGAACAGTAAACCTATAAATCAACATTTACTCCATCACACTTTAGCTGTGGAGTTGACCTGTTAAGAAACATACTACTACAATCCTTAAACACACAACAGCAGTCCCACATAATTAGGAGGGGAAAGTGACTGAGTTTGTGATGGCTCTTTGAAGGTCACTTCTAGACAGTTGTTATTTTGCAGTAGGAGTCAACTGCATACCAGCAAATCCACGATACACAACAAAGCCACTTCCAAAAATAAAAATTGGAAAGTCCCGGGGGAAAACACTAGAAATCGTAGGATAACAAGTGTTTCATGTGACTTTGTATAACCTCCCCACAAACAAATCAGAATGAATGCTCAACAAACGGTGGATATTGCATAACCACCCCAGAAACTTTGTGTCAACAAACCAGGATGAATGCTTTAAAAAGACAGGTAATTTAGAAACAGCCAATAATTCCAGTATGACAGTGAGTCACTTAGCAATGGGAAAGTCTTACAGTGAGAGTGTGGAATATAGCAAATGCTCAACAAAAAGTAGTCTATCTTAGCTGCTCACTCAGCTTTTCTTGAACTCACTCCTTATCACTCTGCAGCAAAACACCAAGAATACTGAAAGACAAATAGTGCTTGGGAAAGCAATAGGTTCAACTTTTTAGGAGATACGTATCACTCTGTTCACAATAGACAGGACACTCATTTCAGGCCTTTAAAGCCCCAACATAGTGTTTGTGACTGGGTTCCCATCTTGATGTAAACACTTTGGAAGAGAAGGGGCAATGAAAGTAGACATTTGGATGATCAAATGGGCAACCCAACATCTATGGAGTGGGAAGGACATATTCTAGTGTTGTTTTCATGAGATGGAAGTCTGTTTGGGTGAGCTGTGCTCAAAAGGGTGGCCTTTAAATAATTCTATAAATTAAAAAAAAAACCCTAAAACTGATGCAATATGGGCTCTGGGAGAGATAGGCTAGACAAACACTTTAAAACTCCAAGCATAAAGGTGAACACTGAAAGAGAATAACACACATCCTTAAACCTTACAGACACTTAATAGTAAGGAAGAAGTTGTTTTGGAGATACTGAGGCACAGCCAAGAATCAAAAGAGCAGCTTCTGTTTCCCCATAATTAGGGTTTTCCAAGGTCTGAGGCCTTGCTGCTCTTGCATGTACAACCCCTGCTTTTGCCACTGCTTCCCTAAGCAGCAGCAGTAAGCTGCCAAGAACAAGAAAGAAACCAGACCTATTTTGTTTTGCCAGGAGGGGTGTGGCAGCTGTCTCCACAGCTAGCTTGTCTTAGCTCAAGACTGAAGTTTGGAGAGACCCTTACAGCATGGTCCTCTGAACATGCAGGCTTAGAATCTTTTGACTTATTCTGCCAGACTCAAGGAAGGGACCCCTGCAATGTGATAGCCTAATACCTATGTGGAACTAACAAAAGAATAGTAGCAATTGCAATGTTATCATTTGACTTCAGCTTTTTTAAACACCCAAAGTGCTTCGCTACCATTATTTTGCTGTAAATCTTACAATAACTCAATAGGGGTACAATAGCCCAATAGGCCCAGTGAGACACACACACACATGACCTCCCTACTTGGCTCGCAAGTCCATTTCAAGTCAAGCCATGGCTATCCACCACTATCTGCTGGGCAGGTAAAACCATGGCTAAGCTGAAAAGCTTTTTCCGAATTGTCAGGTCTTTAGAAGCCCCTTACAAAGCTCCATCTTGTGGAATGCTCTGCAAGTCCTATACTGGCAAATGATCACCCAGCAGCTCACCTGTCTAACTTGGCCCAAGAAGGACAGGGAAAATAATGATCTAGTTCCCCACCCTAAGCTATTATCCTCCATATTGCCTAAAGTCATTTAGCAAGTTAATAATAGATTCAGATTTTAGAACAGGGACTTCCTGATCCACAGCTATGTTCCTTAGCCATGTTTATACCAGTTACAGAGAATACTATTACCACGTCTCTTTCCTTTCTCTCATGGCAGCCGCTCTTCAATCATTCTGCTAATTTCAATCATTCTGTCTATCCATACCCTTTGAGCATGTGAGTGATGCCTCTCCATACAAATTTTAATATTTTTTTATAAGACAGACCTCTGCAAATGTCAAACTTCTCTTGACAAAGTCTTTACAAATACAGATACTGGAAACATATTATGTAGTTTCAACACCAGGTTTTTTGTTGTTGTTTTTTAAGGTACGGCCCTCTGCTGGAGTATCTCAATGAAGGTAATCTTCGCCACTGTCAGATACTTGGCACCTTCAACCCAGTAATGTTCCACCCAAGTTATTTTTCCAGCTAGAACACTATTCCCCAGTGCCAAAATGTTGATACTATAGGCTTGTCTGCACTATATGCTTCATGGAAACAGCTTAAAACTACCATTCCCATAATGGTTTGCCTTTTTCTTATCTACCATAGCACACAGAACAATCAAGGCATTTTATTTGGGCATCACATGAACGTTCCCCATTCTTCTGGCACTTCAACCTCCTAGCAGCTGGTCTCCCACAGGAAGTGGCAAAACCTCTACATGCCACAGTGACAAGTGAGGCAGCTCAAAGAGGCAGTTTCAAGGGGCCTCAGTGCAATCAATAGAATGTCTTGACAAGGAGCGGGCAACCTTTCTGGCCCAGAGGCATGGGGGGAGGATTTCAGCAATCCCATCACACACCTCTCTCTCCCTGCCTAGCTTCTCAGACTGGGAAGCAGAGATGTGTGAAATGGGCAGAGAGATGGGGAGCAAGGTGAAAAGGGGGAGTTATCCCATGTACCAGTAACAACAACAACACCAGCCCATCTGGCTGGGTTTCCCCAGACACTCTGGGCGGCTTCCAGCAAATAATAATAATAATAATAATAATAATAATAATAATAATAATAATAATAATTTTATTTGTACCCCGCCCATCTGGCTGGGTTTCCCCAGCCACTCTGGGCGGCTTCCAACAAAGATAAAAAATACACTGAAATATCACATATTAAAAACTTCCCTGAACAGGGCTGCCTTCAGATGTCTTCTGAATGTCAGGTAGTTGTTTATTGTTTTGACATCCGATGGGAGGGCGTTCCACAGGGCAGGCGCCACTACCGAGAAGGCCCTCTGCCTGGTTCCCTGTAACTTGGCTTCTCGCAGTGAGGGAACCGCCAGAAGGCCCTCGGTGCTGGACCTCAGTGTCCGGGTAGAACGATGGGGGTGGAGACGCTCCTTCAGGTGTACTGGACCGAGGCCGTTTAGGGCTTTAAAGGTCAGCACCAACACTTTGAATTGTGCTCGGAAACGTACTGGGAGCCAATGTAGGTCTTTCAAGACCGGTGTTATATGGTCTCGGCGGCCGCTCCCAGTCACCAGTCTAGCTGCCGCATTCTGGATACAATAATTCATCAAATATTAAAAGCTTCGCGGTCATTGGACTAAGGGAACTAGAGTAGTGCCCTAAATGTTCCCCTGGTGCCTCCTTCCTAAAGCCTGGGAAGCTTCTGCCTAGCTTACGGAGGGAGGTGTGAGGCTCTGATGGGTCCAAGATCTGTCCTACCGTCTTCCCAAAGCCCATCTAACTTTTAGAAGGAAGCAGGAGGGCTCCAGCATCCTCCCAGAGCCCTGGAGGCGCAATGCTCATGTGCGTGACGTCACATCATATGCATGACATTGACACATGAACCCCCAACGGCCCTTGCAAGCTAGTGCTTCTGGCCCTAACTGTTTCCCTATGAAAAATTTCACTGCACTCCATTGCCATGCACCTTCCTGCACATGCAAATTGTGCTCCCAGCAGTCTGCAAACTTGGGCAGGCTGAAGGAAGCACAGCGCATTCAGGAGTGGCAGTGGGGATGGGTATTCCATGGTGGGCTTCAGAAAAGGCCTGTGTGGACCACAGGTGGCCCACCTGTAGCCTAGCCTATTTCATCACCCAGGAAGGAAACCGTATTACACGATATTGGAAATGTGAAGATGCATATAAGCCAACATGTTAGGAAGGAAACAAGACTAATGCTTAGAGCCTATGTGCTGGTTTAGCCCTTCACCTGCGTGGGTTTGAATTGGGGTGGGGGTGGGGATGCAAACATGCAACCCGTGACTTTTCCAAGTAGGGAGAGAGTAAATGCAGTTCAATTTGACTAAACAGTTCTGCATGGAGGTACTTAAACTTGACTCGCCATGAACAATCCTTAAAACAATTCCATATAAAAGATGTATGTATTCATATAGTCAGACTTACCATTTCGAGACAGATCAAGTTCTACCAGCTGCATAAAGTTTGCTATCTCTGGAGGAAGCCGCTGAATTTCATTATCACTAAGCCCGAGTTTTCGTAACTTTACAAGCTGAAAGAAAGGCTGAAAGAGAAAATAATTATCCATTGTTAAGTGCATATACAAAAACTGCAGTTAGTCATGTTAGTAGTCCATTAAAAAATAAACCCAGGTGGTATAGCAAAGACCATTTAATGTTCCCTAGTTTGTGACACTTTAGTCTCCCTCTTTGACAGAGACTGCCCAGTGTGGAATATCCCCTGTGAGTATGCATGCATGGGGTCAAGTCTGAATGACAGCATTAACATGTGAGCCAATTTGGCCAAGGCTAACATTGATGGTGATTCTTTGCTGCTAAAATTCCCCTTGCCTGAAATAGTGTTAAATATTTAACTGTGATCACAGTGAATTCATCTGAAGCATCTTTTCAATTACTCACAATGAAGATTTCATTACTTCATTCACCAGACTTAATGAATTCAGCCCTGAGTGCTCACTGGAAGGACAGATCCTGAAGCTGAGGCTCCAATACTTTGGCCACCTCATGAGAAGAGAAGACTCCCTGGAAAAGACCCTGATGTTGGGAAAGATGGAGGGCACAAGGAGAAGGGGACGACAGAGGACGAGATGGTTGGACAGTGTTCTCGAAGCTACCAACATGAGTCTGACCAAACTGCGGGAGGCAGTGGAAGACAGGGATACCTGGCGTGCTCTTGTCCATGGGGTCATGAAGAGTCGGACACGACTGAACAACTAAACAACAACAACAAAGACTTTGTCTCGTCGCCCAAAGACTATTCTTACCTTCTAAATCACATCAATTGAATGAATGGAGGAGAGAGCAAAATCGTTTGCATCAGCCCTTCCTCCCAACACGTTTCATGATTACCACTGCACAACCAATGATAAGGCTCTCACTCTCCTGATCCCCATGTATTGAAAAGACAATAGAGTTTCATCGTCGCACTCCCTTGGTCAGCTTGCCTATTTCTGCAAGCTAAGTTGCTTATATCACTATATAACAGTGCTCTGTCCTCATTACCAGTATATTGGAACAAATGCACTGCTTTTTTATTCCAACTGGGTATTACAAACTGTGCAGTGGTAGCATACAATTGTCACGTAAAGGGTGCTGCTGCCTTGTTTTATTCAAATGGGGTCAGAAATTCATGACTAGATCGTCCTTTTTTTGGCACAGCTTGCTGCAACAGTAAGGCACACAGGATGGCTTCCCAGCATTCCACATAGTTGAACATTCATCTAATTAATTAATATTGGCTGATTAATATTCTGCAGCCTTTTTTTAATGTGTCTGGGGGGGGTATTGTTTTGTTGTTTCGTTTTACTTATTTACTTGTTTTATTCTGTGGACTGCCCTGAGAGCTTATGATGGATGGTACATAAATCTAATAAATAAAAAATAAAAAATTAGTTCTGGAGCGGTGTAAGTGCACACATCTCTCTTTAGCTGGAGAGAGGTGGCTCCGCATACATTTCCCTTTACAGTGATACCTCAAGTTAAGAATTTAATTCGTTCTGGAGGTCCATTCTTAACCTGAAACTGTTCTTAACCTGAGGTACCACTTTAGCTGATGGGGCTTCCCACTGCCTCTGCGCCGCCGCACAATTTCTGTTCTCATCCTGAAGCAAAGTTCTTAACCCGAGGTACTATTTCTGGGTTAGTTGGGTCTGTAACCTGAAGCGTCTGTAACCTGAGGTACCACTGTACAAGCACAAAACCATTCCATTCATTGAAATGGATGGGAATTCCATTGTAAATGCATAGGAACTCATCACAATTCTCCAAAGGAATTCTGGCACCAGGCAGGAAAAGAAAGCATTTTTTTTAACAAGGTGGTGGAAGAAAAAGGTACAAGCATATTTCATTCCTGTCATGTAAATCTAGAGCACATCTGCACAGTTTGTGAGACAGCAGAGTAGATCACAAGCTGTGGGGTGGCTTAATAAATCTTTTCTTTGTTGCAAAAACAGCTGTGCTGGCAGGCAAGAGGCAAGCTAATGTGCTGCGTTCAGCTTGATGGGCCCACAGGCTGGACAGATCTGCTCTAGAGGAAAGAAAATTGTTTAAACACATATATTATGTTAATTTTTAAAGTAGAGTCGACAACACTGTGTTGCAAATCAGAAGTGTGCATTTTGGGGATTCCTGGAGATAAGGATCAAAAGATTCTGTATCCCTTAGAGGCAAACTTACAACTTGATGTGTTTGCTGTTCCCGAAGAGATAAGAAAACACTCTTCCTTGCTTCTTCCTCCACATGCCAAACCTTACCTGCTTTAACCCGCGTGTGTTTTGATATTATTAAAAGTAGCAGAATAGAAAGTGTGCTTCCCACCACCACCCAAAAATATGCAAATATTGTGGACAGCTTTTAATTAAGCTGAATGGAGCATTCAGGTTTTGAATTAAGTGATACAAATTCTAAATATTTAGAAGGATACTGTAAATCAGGGAAACTTGCATCCAAACTGATGTTTTGAAAATGAAGCAAGTAAGATGTACTACTTCTGCATCATTTGTTTTGTTCTATGATTGAACAGTGAATATATGTAGTGATTCTGACACCCACATACAATAGAAGTATTAGAAATCTGCTGGTACCATACACTGCCCATTTTAAGGTTTCTATGTGGCATGCAATGAAATGTTTTGCTTATAATCCTCCTGTGATTAGTACTTTGTGCTGACCCCAAGCTGTCTGCAGTAGCTTAGCAAAAAAAGGTCAACATTTGTAAAGTCAAAGCTAGTTTGGAAGCAGCCTGACCAAAAGAGACAAGGAGAATGAGCAACTTAGGAGCAACTTAGGACGGTCCATGAAATATGTTCTGTGCACAAGAACGGCAACCAATTTGCATAATTTTTTAAAAGCACAACTTAAAAATCCATAATGTGAAATGGCACGTTGACATCAGACATTTATTTTGCTCACCTTCCCTCTTCCTACCACTACCACCTTGCAGAAATGATATCAAGAGCTCTCAAGTTGTCAGATGAGATGAACAGGCAAAGCCATAAACCACACCTCCAGTAAGTGGAAGCTACCACCACCTGACTTTGTCTTTCCTCCCAGCATGCGGCTTACAGAAGCCACAAGCCATATACAGTAACTTCAATATGGTGTGCATGCATAAAAATCTGGCATGTATAGGTTTAGATCACACTGTTGACACCTGAATTTTACCTGGGATACCAATTGTGCTAGTCAAACCTGCATTCTGTACACAACAACCTATTCAAATATTGCATCCCACACATGTTACATGAGGAAGTCTTACATGAACAAACTTCCGAGAAGTCTCCCTCACGCTAGCAATCCTCCTCAGCTTGTGGACAGAATAGATATGCAATATCTTACTCATTGTGTGCAAACAGCTTTTAATCAAGAAGACTGTTTTTATAGAGATTCATGTGGTGATTCAAATCAAAACCCTGAACAAAAAAAGGAAGGGAATCTCACTGCACTTTCTTCCTCCTTTTTCCTTCTCCCACTCCACCCTGAATATGATCCCAAAGGACTCCCAGAGACAGGACCCACTTTTTCAGAACACTTGGCATGGCATTCTCATAGCATCCTCTGCCATTTCATTGAACCTCTGGGCTGCTCCAACCTAGAATATAATTCAGCTTCAAAACTTTGTACCACTACCCATTATTGAAATGAGTGCTCACCTGTACGTAGCTGATTTGTGGTTTTAGCCTCTCTTTTTTTGTAATTATTGCTTAGGACTTTTAAAAATGTACTTACACCCATGTGCCTGTGGGCAATGGATGCATCTTATAAAATGTTACAGCAATGATTGTAAGCTTCCCTTATTCAGTCTAAAGATGTAGTGGTTACACTGCACGCAAGTATAGTGTTAGTAATTTGTGACTGTTTTCCTCCATTTACTAAGGCCCAGTAGGTAGATCAGGGCAGAGGTTTCCTAACACATGCACACACCCCTTTTCGAGCCAAGGGAAACATTTGGAAGTTTTAAAAACTGTTGTGGGCACCACAAAATACCCATTTCACAGAAGAAAAACTGACGGTGCTCAGAACCAACCCCACAAACAGGCAAAACACCCACCTCCAACCAAAAAGACAGACAAAAGCAGGTGACACACACCCCTTGCAAGCCAAAAAGCAATGATTTTAAGAAACTGGGACAGAAGATCTTGGCAGGTGCCAAGGGAGGTTTTGAGTGTGGTGCTGGGGATTCCAGGGTTATTGGATATGGTGCATATGGTGCAGCTATGTGATATAGCTAAGAATATATTCCGTCACACCTCTGTGATTAATGCAGCAGTTTTATTGAAGAAGGAGAACCAGATCTGTCATCCGCTTTTAAGTCAGCTCAGTTTTAATGAGTGGATGAGATTTTAGCCAATAGCTGAGAACTGAAAAAGATGAGCATTTGCCCCTCCATCCCACAATTTGTATTGGACATCCATCCATTTAAAAGATGTAGTCACAGAAACAGGAACAGCCCTTTGTTTTTGTTGCTTAACATAAATGGGACCAAACCCCGTACAAAACATCCAAACACCAACCTGGCGGGGAGTGGAGTTGCTGTTTTAGGAGACAGCCCAGCACAGAATCAAGGGAAAATATTTCAAATTCCTCAAGCACCAGGAGCAATTTTCAAAGTGCCTAGGATTTTTCCAGCCACACAACACAAATCTGCTGCTGTGGTGCATTAAGAAGGGATGCACAGGGTCACCCTGCAAGGATCACTTACTCACCCTCTGCACACACACTCTAACAAAATCACTGAGATTATCTGCCGGTGCATCATTGGTCATTAGCCAAGTAGGTGAGGCTCATTTGACAACAACAAGCAACCTAGCCTTTAGTTTCATAAACACAGTCCTGCAGAACACTCTGCCGATAGGGAGGCAACAGGCTCCTTCTGTTCCAACTTTGAAATGCCTGCTGAAAGCTTTTCTGTTTCATCAGGCTTTTTTAGGCACTTAAGAATACAACTTTTGAATGGTTTGATGTTAAATTTGATGTTGATTTGTTTAAAAGTTTGTAAAATTCAATAAAAATTAATTGGCAACAACAACAAAAAAAAACTTTCCAT